TTATTCTATTCTATTCTAGATAATGTAACTACCTTTGAGTTTCTGCATATCAAACTCCATCATGACCCAGCAAGATTTAAACTCCATTTAATGTCTTCCTGCACATCTGATAGTGATCTGATGAAGCTAAAGCTTCTCTAAGCTCACTTTCTGCTACCAAAGTTAGCGCCTTTTGTTGGAACCATGAATGCTGAAACCAGCCATCATCATTTTAGACTTTTATGAACAACATTAGTAAAAAGTGCAACATGAATGAGAAGCTTGACTGTAACCACAAACTGCGATATTAAACTTGCACCTGAGATTCAGTAACAAAAGCCTTACTTATTGGGCTGCGCTTTAAATCTATTTTTTTTTAATCACAGGTTTAAAGCCAAACATCAAAGGTCTACATTTCCCGTCAGCCGTTTTCTTACCTTCTTGCTAGGGCCTCTTGAGCATCCATGGCTGTGTTTCGGCCTCGGAAGGCGGGTGGACTAGGAGTCCTGCTTCGGCTCTTCCTGCGCACCTTTTCAGTCCTTTTCTTATGCTCCCTGGAGATAGAAAACAAACCAAAAACCAAGTCAGCCAACTAACATACTCTTAACCCTTTAAGACTTAGCAAAGAACCAAGTCTGCCAGAGCTTATCTTTATAGTTTTACATGCTGGAGAATTTCAAGTTGCTATACATCAATACAACCATTATAGCCCAAATCTTAATATGTATGCAATAAGTGCATAGTAACTGCATAAATTGCAAAAAAAGTGCAATAAACTACAAAAAAATTTAATTTATATATATTTTTTAAATAAACATTTCTAGTTAGGGAAATTTAAGAGGTTTATCCCTCAAAACTGTAAATACAAAAAGTTGCACAAAATAGTTTCCCACCACAGGAAATTTATTTTGAGTATCTTCATAGTTTTATTTTTGAGATACACCAATTTTTACATACTGCAGGAAAAACGTAAATATATATTATAATGCAAATTTGCAAAAAACAAACCAAAACTATTTCCAGCAGTGCAATTTGAGTTCTAAGCATCCCGGAAACTATACAGAAAAGCATAAAGTTAAACATGACTTTTAAAAACACCAGTTTTATGCAAAGCTATATGTGGATGGAAACTGTGACCTAGAGCAAGCTGATGGCATAAGATGTAAGTACAACTCCCCCGTTTCATATGCAAAAAAAAAAAAAATATTGCGCTAGCAGTTCTACAGGGATTTAAAAATAGTTACGCAAAACGGAGCGTGCCCGCTCCGACCGGTCTTAAAGGGTTAATGACATGTAAAATCTAAGACAAAAGTTCAAAAGCACTTCATTGGCATAAGAAACGGCGCGATTTCAGCTGAGCCCACCTGCTCTTACTGCGACTTCTGCTATGGTGACGATGTTTGGTCCTTGAACCCGAGCGAGACCTGGCCTTCTTCTTCTTGTCTCGGCTGCGTGATCTTGATCGCCGCTTGTCCCTACTTCTGCTGTGATGCCGTCTGAAAGCAACATTAATGACATGAAACAAATGCAGGCATTTCTGTATTTCTTGGCACGTTTTTCTTCTCAAAGTTTGATAAATGACTCAGGTCATCCAGAAGCTACAGCTAGCAATTCTAATCAATTTGCATCTTTCTTTGTCATAAGTATGGAGACCTGCTGCAGTCTTACTTTACTGAGCAGACTGACCTCTCTCTGGAGTGTGACCTGGACATGCTCCGGCCCTTTGAAGACTTCCTGTCCTTGCGCCTGGAACGTTCCTCTCCGTTCTCTGCCGAAAGTCTCTCTTGGTCTTGCGGTTCATCTGTTTTTCTGTGTGATTTTGATGGCTTCTCAGAGTCCCTCTTTCGTGCCTGTTTTAAGAAGAAGTTGTCTCTTTCAGGAAAATAGTGCAACAAAAAGAGTTAGTACCATGGCTTAGACCATAAGGTATGTAATAAAATTGACAAGCTGAATAAAACCTTGTCATTTCAAACCCACTTCCATAAAAATTACAGAATGTCATTCTTAGAGAACTTAGAGAAGTGTAAGTGTGGGCAAACAGGGACCAGCAAGTTGTCATTTTATTCAATAAGCTAGGAGGAGGAAACACTTTAAGGAGATTTTTCCCCCCAATTTGATGACAAAAACTGAGCGCAAACCAAATTAGTTTGTGCCCGCTGAAAGGCTGATGTAGGTTCGGGCATCCAACTTACTCCTTACACCCACACATTTGATCGTGTTTGGATTCAATTTCAGTTTAATTAGATTAATTATGCCCATCCCCAGCTGCAAGAGATGCAACAGTTAATCCAATTTTCTACTCATAATGTGTGACAAAGAGGAGTTTGAATGGCAGATAGTTACCTGTCCCAGTAGTAGGCATATTATTTTGCTATGTCAGCAGGGTCTTCTGTTCAGTCTCTTCGTGCATTAGCACGCTGAGTATGATTTATTGTAGAAATGTTATCATGTGATCTCCACACAGGATTTAACAAAAAATAAAAAGGAGAAAAACTAGTCTTCACCATTTACAATGGTTACAAACAATGACAGATCACCAAGGACAAAAGCTTCCTTTGAGAAATCAGAGCACAACGAGGGTAAGAAAAGAAAAGAAAAAAAAAAAAGACCCTTTCCACGTGAGCAAGCCCATCGCCATTTATTTCACTTCTTAATTTTGGCTATTATAATTTGTTTGACCTAAGAAAACATACTCACCTTGACTTACAACTAACAAGGAATATAACTTAGGGTCCTTAAAATCACATCAAATGCGTTTCTAACTATAGAAACAAAGATATTAATTACCTCTTTGCTCCTGCTGCGACTGCGTCTGTACTTTCTGTCACCTGTAAAAGCAGAGCATATTTCAGATTAAATTTGTTAGTCTGACAAGATGATCAAGCCAGATGAAGCCAGTGTGTAAAGTAGACCAGATTTCACATGTGTGATTAACTCTTAGCAAATTTGGTAATGTTGAGACTAAATTGCCCACCACTACTAGGGATCATCAGAAACTTTAGTTTATTGTTTTTGTTTTGTGCTTCCAATCTTTTTTTGTCTAGGTTACCTCTAAACTGGGAATGTAACAAAATTTTGTATTATAGCTCGAACATATGTGACATTTTTTGTGCCATTTGTGAACTGAATACTAACGTTTTCGGTCCCTGGAGCGTGACCTTGACCGTGAATGGTGGTGTTTGGAGCTTTTGGGGGACTTTGATGACTCCATATGTCTTTTTCTGTGATGAACTGGGGAGCCAGATCTGGTCAAGTCAACAGAGTCGTTGTCACTCACCTGAAATAAACATGCAAAATCACAACAGGAACTAATTAGTGAAGTTCTTTGGAGTTAAGTAAATTTTATACATCTAAAGAACTGTTATCTACTATAACTCATGGCCTTTGTGTTTGTTGAGTAGTAAAATGCATGTGGTTTTGGCTTTTCACTAAAGTAAAAAACAAAACAGTAGAACTGTAATACAATAAAAGCACTTGATTACATAGGTAACTACCCTCAAAAGCCTATTTGGAGCCATTAAAAAACCCCTTAAAGTACAGCCCGGATTTTCTGTGATACTCAAAACATGCACAGGATGATCTGGACAGACAAATAGAGCTTCTGTCTAATGTATTAACGCCAATAAATACATTAGACATTGATTACGCATGTAAGCAACACCAGTGTGCATAAAGTTGCCTTAATTAACAAAGATTTCCCTGTTATTCTGAAGGTTTTCGATAATCAAAATATGTATGTCGCAGACATTAATGCAGTTGCAGTAAGGAGGGAATGTAAGGCTGTGTAGTCCACAGGCACAACGTTATTTTTATTTTATGCTTTTTATTTTAAGTATTGCTCAGCATTTATTAACATACTGTAGTACCTATTTAACATCCTTCAATACTAATGCCTTTTATTGTGTGGCTCACGTAGACTAAAACACAGCCGTTTTCAAAGTGCAGTCATTTCAGCAGATGAGACATACCATGGGTCACTGCAGTGTTAATTCATAGTTAGCCATATCAGTCATTTGTGCTACTGTGTTGCTATTGTATTGGATTAAACGTGTGGATTCTAGTGATCACATTAAATGAATAGCTCGAAACCCATCACGTAATCTACGGCAGCCAAATCTCTCCGTTTTCGTTCTTTATGCCTTCACCGCAGTGATATTTGGAGTAATTTTATCGTTAGCTCGACCGCTAAGCTAACACACGCTAGGCGCCATCTTTAAGAGAAAAATATCATGAATACAACCGAAAACTTCCACTAAAATTACGAAGTGGCTATCAAACCCATATACGTACGACATTACAATAACACGACAATACTTACCGACATTATATTGAAGTATAATATTTGTGCCTAAATTCGATTTTCTTGCTGCCTTTGTGAACGAAGACGAAAAGGTAGAGAGGTAGCTTACTGCTGAGGCCCTTTGACTAGCTCAGCTTATCTGATCTGGGTTGCCAGTTGTAGCCTCTTGACTCCCTGATTCAGGTAAATGCCAAACTTAAGAAACGAAATACTACTACTACTACTACTAATAATAATAATAATAATAATATACTTTGACTGCAATACAAAAACAAATAGTATAATACTGTAAGACATAATTATTTTTATATAGTCATTGGTTATACACCCAGTAAACATTTATTACAAAAACATATAGTCGTATTCTTATAATCCTTTTTGTCTTATTCTTTTTTAACTTGTTGCATTTATTTATTTTGTTGTTATGTTCTTTAAAAAATACACGTTTTTTGTAAAAATGTAAACATGGTCATATGAGTCCTAAAGTTTAAGCATTGCGTCAAATGCGGCCATAAATCACCAAACCTGGCAACACAAAAGACTCGCCGGATATTCCTGCAATGCCCCGCCTCTATATTTGTTAGATTTTATCCTCGATTTAGCCTTTCAGGCGTCTCTTAATCTCAGGTCAAATTATCTTAAACATTTAAATGAGCCATATTGGATCATAGACACATTGCATTGAACATTTTATAATAGATTACCGAGTGTCGCGTGGGATGCTACTCCTAAACTAACAGAAAGCTCTGGATTTTTACCTTTTACTGTAATGATATTGCATCTGACAGGCAAAACTCTGGGAACAATCACCACAAACAACTCAATCCTAACAACCTGCATCAACCCGCCAAATTCTAAAGCTAAACACGGTGGCGTTATGTCGGCTCTCTCTGCTATAACTGTTTAAGTATTACAGTAAACTGGTGAGTTGCTGTCGGTTATATCTCCTTAATAAAAAAGTAATTCAATTTTTTGCCTTATATTTTATTGTTATTTGTAAATCTCTGCTAAATAGCTAGCATTGGTATTATAACCTGATTAATGACAGCTTGCGGCTAGGCAAGTTAAGATATCCTCTCCTATATCAGCTCCTGAAAATGGCGCTGTGGAGTGAAGTCGAACTTCTGACCAACGAAGATACAAATACAGTCCGTTTCGATGGTGTGTCCCGGGAGGAAAACAGCAGTGGCCTGTATCAGGTGGACACGTTGGTCAAAGTCTCCAGTGCTAATGAGGTGACTGATGTAAATATTTACCACACACTCATGCCAAGGGGTTTGTGGCAAAGACTCCTGGGCCTGTATTAGTGTTTTAAGCATGGTTTAGTAAACCTGGGTTTTTACAGGTGCAGGCAGATCCTAATCTCACGTCCTCGAGCGGCTCAAACTGGAGTTTTATTGTTGCTGACAGGACAGTCATCCTGTTTGATCAAAGCTATCAGAGCATCCTCCTGCTCCTTAACTTTGGTAAGCATCATTTGTGTGGCTGCATAAAAAGTCAGCCATAAAAATCTCTTTGAAAATCGTTTTGAGGCATCTGTAAAGTATAAATAAATATACATTTTTTAAAAAAAGTATAAATAAACAAAGGTTTTCTTTTCCAGAAACTGATGTGGACGCCATTGACGTGTGCCTGAAGGGAAAGTTTCTGGTAGTTTGTGAAAGAAATGGAAACCTTCATTTGATCTACGTTCCGCAAAAGAGGATCCTCCTAACCCGGGTGTGTGTGGTTGTTTTCATCTTTAAGGCCTTAACTCTTATCCTATCTAATCTTATCTAGTCTCATGCATGTCTGAATAATAAAGCTAAAGTATACAGGACAGTAGCAGCAGTAAAAACTAAACCCTGGTGATGCATTTAGTGTTACATCATTAACATGTTGTGTATCCTCTGAAATTGAAGGCTTTGGTTGAGAAACCAAATGGAGATAAGAAAACCTACTGCTATCTCATTATGGATGAAGACAAGGCATCCTCAGGTGATATGAGAAGAGTGAGATATATATATATATATAAATGGATGTAGAAGCAGTGCTCTAGCTGCCATGTCAGGTTTATGTTTGCTTGTTTGTTTTTGGGGGGGTTTTCATGTTGTGTGTTTATTATTGGCAGGAATGTACCACATGTTCCTTCTCATTAAGGATGGTTTTTTCCACATTACAAACCTTTCCTTGGCAAAAATTGAGTCAGGTATAAAAACTTGTGTGCCCCACATCTGCTAAGTTTTTTGTTTGTTTGTTTGTTTTTCAAAGCCATTGTTTGATTTCTGTCCTTTGTCATTCCAGCTATTGATAAAATGGATGTCGGAGCTCTAAAGGAGGTAAGTTAAGGTCAAAAGCTCTTTTTATGCACAAGCAAATTTTTTTTCTTTCAGCAACGCAGAAATAGTCACGTATTTCTCTGTTTCAGCTCCAGTCTTTGATCAAGATAGATTTTTACTCCACCAAGGATTACCATGAGGAGGGTTGTAGCACAGCAGTGATGTTCAGTCTGGGCCATGAAGTCCACCTGATGATTGGGGTCAGTGTCTATCAGTGTCAAGTTTCATTAATTTGACTTCCAGCTACAATTCTGAGATAAGTGTTACATGATAAAGGAAGCATATTGAAAGAATTTTAAGAAATGATTGTAACACCTTATAGTGTTTCAGATATGTTTTAGTCATTCTGTCCGGCTGTCTGTATTTCATTTTACTTTTGGTCTCATACCAGCAAAAGTTACACTTTTTAATGGCAAATGACTCAAAATCTTTTCCAAATACTGCAAGTTTAAAACCATTTTTAATGGCAAGTTTACAGTGGACATTTTATTAGGTACACCTTGCTAGGACTGGGTTAGACCCCTGTTGCTATCAGAGCTGCTTGAATTCTTTGCGGCACAGATTCAACAAGGTGCTGGAAACATTCCTCAGAGATCTGGGCCCGTATCCCTAAAGAATCTTTGTGCAAAAAGTGGCTCCTAGCGGCCAAATTCTAAGAAAATTCTCAGAGTCATGACGTTTTCTTAGAATTTCCCCTAAAAGTGACACGACAATCCCAGTTAATATAAAAGCTATTCCTCAAGATTCCTAACGCTTAAAAGGGCTCCTAAGGCAAGATCTGCTAAGAGCAGGGAAGAGGACTTTTAGTGGCTTAGGAGTTCCCCTAAGCAGCTGCACAAAATGGCCAACAGAAGAGGCAGGAGAGATGTCCTGCAAATACTGGATGACAGGGAATTATTGAGACGCTACAGATTGGATCGTGCAGGAATCATGTTTGTGGTGGATCTCCTTAGAGATGCAATTACTTCACCAACTCGACGCCACAACACTATTACACCGGAGACGAAAGTAATCACAACCCTGAGGTATTTGGCAACCGGGAAAATGCAACAATGCAGCAGTGATGACTTGGGTCTGCAATCACAGACATTGCTAAAAGCTGAGCCGTGTTACCCTCGTTAAGACCACACTGGACTTGTAACGTTGTGATTTCTACTTCATTAAGGACAGCCTCTTGAGATAGGCCATCTTGTTTTCAACAGGGTCCATATGGGAGTGAAAGTACAAAATATGTCAGCTAGGATATTAATATGAGCAAATAAGACACAAATCATTATTTGAACAGGGTGTAATGAGTTTAAGTTTTCACATATTTTAGATTCTAATGTTAGGCTATAACCCCTACAGCTTACTATTCATTTTCCAGATATTTTCTTGAATGTGAAATATTATTTACAATTACAGTCAGCATAAGATTAGAGTGTATAATTATGTTTATTGATTTGAGGGTACATCCTTTGCTCATTATCACCAAAAGCTCATTTCCATCAAACTTGTAGGCTCAACCAATCACGGCTTTTGAAATGATGACTCATACCTAGCAACGGGGTCAACCACACCTCCTCACTAAGATAGGATTTTCCATCCATTCCTTGCTCAGAGTTCACTGAAAATGTTCTGGAATCACTTCTAAGCTAAAACTCCTGGCAAGGAATTTTTAGGTTAAGTTAGGAGCTCTCTGAGAGGATTCTCAGAATCTTTAGGGATACGGGCCCTGATCTATAGTGACATAATAACATCACACAGTTGCTGAAAATTTGTCAGCTGCATATGCATGATGTGACTTTCTACCGCATATCAAAGGTGCTCAATAGAACTGAGCTCTGGTGAATTGGAGGCCATGTGCGTACACTGAACTCATTGATCCTCATTTAGAAATATGTGCGTGGAAGCATTGTTGTGCTGCACAAAAAAACATTCACATAGGCCATGACTGTGTATATGTCTTTAAATCAGAGTCATTCTAAATCAGTTGCCTCGTGCTCACAGTTTTGTCAGTGCATTTTAAATATTTGATAGTCCTCATATAACATAAAGCAAGCGTTTCATTATATCATGTACAACAATATTTTCATCTTGACAGGGGGATAAAGAAAATGTTTTGACTCACTGGAGGATGGACCCTCATCAAGCTAAGATGTGCTTTGCTCAGACCGTCGACAGGAGCTTAATTCCGGGTAAGTGCTCTTAGTTCCCAAGTTGTTTTGTTTTTTTTGGAAGTAGGGCTGCAACGATTCATTGAGTAACTAGAATAATTAGATTCTGCTTCAATGCTTCATTTAGCACACGGCTCTGTAGGCTGCTGTTGTAATAAACGATGTAAACCTGAACATTTCACCCACATTTGTGACTAAAAACAGACCTGCAAATAGAAACTTATTTCGGAGCAGCGTGTGAATAAAAAGTGACAACATTAAGTTCACACAGTCCCTAGTTTGAAACAGAAACACTGATAACACAGCAGCAGTGATGACGGGCCACCACAGTTTAATGTGGCGCCGGAGTCTGTTTACGGTATACACCGTGAAGAGCAAAGAGGCAGAGCTGTTACCAAGGTGGTGACGCTCAGGTGGGGAGAAAGAAAACGTGTTTCTAGTATCCAAAACAGCAGCACTGTTCCCGTGAACACCATTAAAAACCTTTACTGGGAAAAAGCGAGCAGGAGTACTTCATCAACCTCATCAATAAACTCAGACGTGAAGAAAAGCAAACTTTGCTCCATCCACTGCCGTTTGTTTCACAGAGAGAAATCCATGGTTATATAAGCAAAATGTTGAATCTAATGCTGATTTAAGAAGTGATGATTTTAGGAGCTGTTTTTGTGTCTTTGCAGGTGTAAGGAAGATGGTGGTGGTGGATAACCTTTTGTACATCCTCGACACTGAGGTGAGATCCTGCTTTGTAAAACAGTTCGAACTTTTAGAGGAATCAGAATTTGAGTTTGAAATCTATCCTTGTGTCTCAGGATGTTCTGAGTCTTTGGGATCTGCACTTTCTTGTCATGATTCACTGTTGGCCAGAACTCGCCGTTCACGACTTTCAGCTCACTGCAGAATGTGGCTCTGCCTCCATGGTGGCGTACGTATCACTGTTTTACAACATACTGTAACTGTGAACATGTACTGTTTGTTAAAACAGTTTTGAAAATGTTCATTCACGTGTGTATTACAGCCAAGATAAAGGCAGCATGAAGATGATCATGCTGACAAAGCAAGACAACAGTCAGGTAGAAGTACAAATCAGTTTTAAGAAGCTTTAACGGATGATTTCCCAGAGATCTGCTCTGAACTCGTTATGTTGGGTTTGAATTTTTCAGATCAGCTCACTGCAAATACGATTCCTGCCCTCTATGACTGTTTGCTACTCTCTGGATGTTTCCTTTGTCTCCTGTCTCGTCCACACAAAAATAAACATGGTAAACAGTCAACACAAAGTAAAGCGTTACATTAATTTTGCTGCTGCAATTTCTGTCTGTTGAGATTTCTTCATGTTAAAGTTGGTTGCCTTTTTTTTCTGTAATTCCAGGATGCATTTTATTTAGTCGAGGGGATTTGTGAGAACCCAGAGAGGTAGGCTATGTCTGAGTGAGTTTTATTGTGATGATCGGCCTTTGCTTACCGTTCAAACATTAAACTTTTTTCTTGCTCTTCAAATAGTCGAAGCGAGCCAGTCGCTTCTGTGGTTGTTCGATCCTTCACAGAGGCTTTACCTGAAAACAGGTACCTAATTTAATTCAAGTTTATGACATTATAGTCTATATGATGTTGATGTAATTTGACTTAATGTGACTACTCTTCATTTCTAGGCTGAGCAGGCTTCTTCACAAACACATGTTTGAAGAGGCTGAAAAGTTTGCCATCACATTTGAGCTGGATTTAGAGGTAATTGAGTTTGTGTAACTACAAGCTTAGATTTGTGATTTATAGATCATTATGAATTAAAAACAGATGTAATATTTTATGATGAAGGTGGGAAGCGTTGCATGGCTCTGACAAATGATCTGACAGGTGCTCTTCAATGCAGACCCTGATTAAGACTGAGAGCCGATACACATAAGTCTGTTGTCTGTGTGCTGGAGTTTTTCGTGTTTGTTTGTTTTGCCAGTGTGTGCAGAGACTAAATTTAAACTAGCACTTCAGCAGCAGGCATAATTGAAGATTGGCTTTGTCATTTTTAAGTGGTTATACTTGCACCACACAATATATTTAGCTGGATTTCTGAGGTTTTGGTTTTCAGTATCTATTGTTGTCGCTTTAGATGAGCGGTGCTTCTTATAGTATTTTGTCATCCTAATCAGTGCTGAATACAACAAGCACTCCTGTTTTTGTTCAGCTTGTCTATAAGGTGAAGCTTGACTTTGTGCTGGAGCAGCTGGCCTCTGCATCAGTGGGCGGTTATGGAGAGGATGTGTGGTCTGATCTGGTCGAAGAAGCCAAGACAAACCTGATGAAGATCACAGTGAGTATTATAACAGTACTGTCATCACCCTGCCAGGTGATTGGGCAAGTTGCATGGACACCCAAGTTTGTGAATGCAAGATCCCCAGAATGAGGTGACGTAGGACTTTGAAAATGGAGGCTGAGGTGTAGCACTGGCAGCCGCCAGCATTTTATTTATTTATTCTTTTTAATCTGGTGTCAATTTACTGTTACAGAATATTCATATAACTACAGTGGGGGAAATAATTAGTATTTGATCCTAGTGCTGTTCGATATAACGATATATATCGGATGACGATATAAAAACGTCTATCGTTTCAATTTACGCTATCGTTTGTTTCGTGGTGTCGCAAAATAAATTGTTTACGGCAATATTTTTTTATCGTCTTGATGGTGACTGTAGTGGCTATATTAATTTCTTAAAGTTCTCTCTTTCTCTTATATTTTATATAACCACACTACGGAAGGACAAGCGCCTGTTTTTATGCGTTGTGGTTAGCAACAACGACGGTAACACCATCGCGTGTCCGCTTGTTTATGTTCCACATAAACCTTTCACAATAAAGCTCAAGATCCTGTTGAGACTTTTCAAAATAAACTGAATCACGTGAAAGAGCAGATTATTTACGGATGAGAAGTAAAAAAGAGCCGCCAGGTGCTAAAAAATAAACCTTAGACTCAACCGTTAGAACAGGCTTTTCCTCGCAGCACGCCGTGTAATAAATACTCACAAAGAAAACGGCGGCCGTTACAACTTATGTCTAAAAATGTATAGTTTCATGCATCTGTTAAAACACTCGACTCCAGCTACATGACGCGCAGCTGGAAACACTTCCCGCAAGACGAGCTGCCCAAGATTCACAGAATTTACAGAAAATGTTACATTTTTATGATTTATATCGTTATTGGACGATAGAATTCTTATATCGGGATATGAGATTTTGGTCATATCGCCCTATTTGATCCCCTGCTGAGTTTGTAAGTTTGAAAAAAAGACATTACATAAACATTATACATTGATTTTCATGTCATAGAGTGAAATAAGGATTTGATTCCCTATAGCCCAGCCAGAGTTCTGATTTCTTGTGTCAGTCAATTGATTTCAAAAACACTTGTTGTAAATGGAGAAAAAAATATAAAGCTGTATATAAGCTCCATGGAAGGTTTTATCTCATGATGTGAGGATAATCGCGAGAAAGGTGATCAGTCTGGCCAGAACTACATGGGAGCAGCAGGAAGTGGTGTAATCAGATGAAACCAAACTAAAGCTCTTGGGCATGAACTTGATCCACCTTGTTTGAACAGAAATGGTGAGTGTAACCCAAAGAATACCATCTCCACAGTCAAGCACAGAGGTGGAAACAAAACACACCACCATTGCAGCAATTGAGTGGCTAAAGAAGAAGCACATTAAGGTCATTCAGTGGCCTAGCTAAATCTGCTGAAACAAGAAACCTAAAAGATTTAGAGAGTTTCTGTAAAGAGGAGCCAAAATCCCTAATTTTTGTGTGGAAGGCCTGGTGACCAACAACAAGAAACATCTTAACTGCTGTGCTTCCTAACAAGGGCTTATTTCGGTTAGAGATTAAATACATATTTCACTCAGTAACATGCAAATTAAAGTAAATTTTTATGTAATGTGTTCATCCCGGATGTTTGGTTGATATTTGTCTCTATCTATTAAATGAAACTATGATAAAAATGAAAGAATGTTCATTTCTTGAGTAGTTATTGAGTAGCAACTGTTTATTTATATATATGTATTTTTTCACGTGGTCTAGGATGAGCAGTATGTGGTGGAATACTGCCTCAAGGCCCCATGGCCGACCTTTGAGACAGCAGAGAAGATGCTAAACCACGCTGCCACGCGATACTCCTCTTTACAGATCCAGGAGGCCTTGGCCAGACTGGCCACCTTCTGCAGCCTCCACAGTGTGGAAAAATTCAAGTAAAATCAATGTCTTAGTGTCCAATTCTGAATTATTTTGTTATACAGAGTTTGTTTGTTTGAGTACAATTTTGAGTGGTTTTAGTTGGTTACTTTACCATCCACAGTGGAATCGCCTGGATTGAGTTTCTGAACAGCACTGATGATCTCGGAGACATCCTGTGCCATCTAAGAGAAGGAGACATGAAGGGTGCACAGCTTCTTTGGCTCAGATATGAGGTCATTATTATATCACCACATTTATATGTGTAGAAACTTTTCGTACATCATTAAATCAAAAACAGTGGTTATTGTTTCGGCAATGGCGTTAAGGTGTGTTGCGATGTTTTGTGACAGGGCCAGATTGCAACCAAGTTCGGTGAGAGCAGCCTTGAAGCCATCCTCAGTGCCATCCCAGAGGACCTGCCCTCACAGGATCTCTGCCTGTGGTTCAAGACAGTTTTTGTTCCCTTTGTGAGGAGAGTGTTACCACAAGGACAGGTAGGATACAGTCCTGCATTCCTAAATACTATTGTCTCTAACGTATAGTGGTATGCTTAATAAAGACACTGCCGCCATATCCCTGCAGAGAATCCTGGCAAAGTGGCTCGAGCAGAAAGCAAGAAATCTGGAGCTAACAGAAAAGGTAAAGACAAAAGGATATTGATCTGAAATGATTAAATAAAACCAGGCTTCTGAAGTCATCCACAACTTTAGAGACCTCTAATTTAAATGAGTTCTTATATGGACTTATTTATATAAACTGGGAAACGTATTTCAGCTTTATCTTATTATGTTGTTAAGTGGACACAGATATTTCCCTGTCTCAGAATAGGCCTTTGAGAAGTCTTGCACTAAATGCACATTATTTGTTTTCAGCGTGCTTGGCCTCAGAATGGGTTGGACCTGGCTGTGCTTGGACTGCCCTCTTTATGGACATGGATGAAATCTGTAGGTTTTTGTTTTGTTTTTAGGCTCTACCGGTTTCAATAAAATGCAGCTTAATTAATATGATGTTGTGTTTAATTTCCTGATAATTTTTTGATTGATTGTTTTTTGTTTGTTTCTTTTGTTTTTTAAGGATAACAGTAATTGTGTAGAAGAGGTGGAAAACCTCAAATCCCTGGTGTCCAACCTACGTCAGCTGCTGGACCTACATCAGAAATACAACTGCTCACTTTCCCTTTCGGTCTTTGAAAAGGTTTGTCTTTTTTTAATATCTACCCTGCTGTAGGGGGTCGGTTGCTGTGTCTGGGTCAGCGGCAAGGAGTGGGGGCCCTGGTGGTCTGATCCCCAGCTTCTGAAGCTGGCTACTGCAGCATTATTTTTTGTAGAGGATGTGTTTTCTTGATGTTTACTGCGTTATCTTCTTTCACAATTTAAAAGAAGACTGTGTGGAGTGTGGCATTTTTCATGCTGGACAAAGTGCCGGCTCCGGAGCTAATCGCCGCCACAGTGGAAAACAGCATCAGGCCGTACACTGAAGAACACAAGATTCCTTTTGATGAGCTACTTCTGCAATACATCAAGGTAAAATTCCATTGCAACCTCATGCACATGAGGAACTAGTTTATCAAATACTCAATGGTGTTTGTGTTTCTCCCCCTAATCTTCACTAGGATTTGCTGGATCGCTGCAGTTCTCAGACCACGACACTTTTCACTGAATGGGAAGCTAAAGCAGTGGCCGTGCTCGGCTGCATGACTGACACTGATGTAGGTGACTGTTACTGTTACATGCTACACGACGAGACAATTAATGTGCACAAATATTTGAGTGAAAAATCAGCCTAGCAGCCAGTGGGAGCTGTAAAATCTCACATCATGGTGTTCTCTTCCAGCTGATGGTTGATGCTGTGCTGGAGATCATGCAGAAGGCTGTGGTACCGTGGAGTAATGTGGTGGAAAAACTGGTCCAGCAGTACCTAGAGATGGATGGACCAAAGTATGATTATATCATTGTCTCCTTCAAGTACCTTTAACCTCCTAAGACCTGAACTCTTTCATGGCATGCATTTTTAACTTTTCATTGCTGTTTGTGCTGATTAGGACCTGATGAATATAAAAACAAAGAATTATCTTTTTACCTGATTTTGCTCTACAAGGGCCTGATATCCACATATGAGGACATTGGTTTTAAATTTCAATACAACAGCGGCAGTATAATGTCCTCGTAAGTGGATATCTGGGCCTTGTAGAGCAAAATTTAGTATTGTGGTCTAGACAACCTAAAATGTGATGTCCACATATGTAGATACCAGGTCCTAGGAGGTTAATGTGAGACACTGAATAAAATCCCTTTTCTTTTTTTTAAAGACAGGAGCTGTTAAAGGAGAGCTACCGTCTGATGGAGATTAGGAAACTTCTCAGGGGATACGGCATCCGCAACTTCAACCTGTCTAACAGCACCCAAATTATGGTATGTACGGACTGCTCTATGTAATATGCAACTTATTATCTGTAAAATAACCTCAGTTTTTCCCCAGACGCTGATTAGATACATCCTCAAGCAAGACTTGCCAATGTCCTTGGAAGACTCGTTGACGTTAGCTGAGGCGTACAAACTGCCAACATCCCAGATAAATTACCTGTATGTCATCCACCTCATAGGCCAAAGCAAGGTATGTAAATCCTCACAGGAGTTTTTAACCGCATGTTACTGACTAATTTTGCTTTTCTGTGTTCCTGATATTTTTGTATGGGACTTTTTGTACTGTGTTTTTTTGCAGACTGAGGAAATCTTGACTCTCCTGAAGAAGCTGCCCTCTGCAGAGGCAGAGTGTGTGATTGAGCGTCTCACATCGTGGGCCAGGATGCAGCTGGAGGACAAAGAACACATATCTGATGAGGTACAGAAGGGAAGACGTCACCTTTGTGGAAGTGCATTTTATGCTTATTTATTTTTAAGGTTCAATTAAAGTGTTGCATTTTAAAAGAATTGAAGTCATTCTAGCTAAACTTTCCTTTGCAAACATTAAATTTCTTTTGCGTCTGCATAACCTTATAATCGAAAGCTTAAGATGGCAGCAGGAAACATTGGAGGTTGTTATGGTAACCATATGATCATTTGGTTTGAATTGAATTTCCTCTTTGATAGCACAAGAAACATCAGATGGTGATAGCTCAGGTGATGGTGGAGACTCTGAAATACCTGCATATAATCCAAAAACGTAAGTAATATTTATGACTCGTTCCTCCTGCTCTTTGGCTGACTGAAGGAAGTTTCAGAAAAGTCTCTGTGAGCTAAAATTGTTTAAAACGATGTGACACTGGTTTTCTATCCGAGGCTTTTTGAAAAGATACGCAATAAATGTGCACCTGATTATTCAAGAGTGAATCCGGGCCTCGTGTTTCATTGCAGATGATGCTCTAAAAAGCGTCGAGTGTGAGAACAACCTCATCATGTTCAAGGCGATCGCCCACCTGCAGGTGAGCTTCATTTAACAAATGTTTTTCAGCATTACTAAATCTGTTATTTGATTTTGTTTTAAACTCCAGACTTATTATCTTTCTCTTCTTAAGGAGGACTTTGATATTTTTTTCACTCCCTCCAACTATGAGGATCCAAACATTCGAAAACAGATCCAGGAACATCACATCACAGCGTACGAAAACACCCGTGGGCGCTGTTCATGTAAGGGGAAGGCCACGACAACTCCAGTTGTAGCAAACGATCCAGATGGCAAGACCAAGACGATCTCCACAGAAGCTGGTTTGCGCCGTCTGGGGAGGCAGCTGCAGCGCACCGAGCAGGAGCTGTGGTCCGACTTGGCCTTGAGAGCTCTGAAAGTTGGCAAAGTTGACAAGGCGCTCAAGATCCTGAGGTTTGCATGTAGAAACTGACAGAGCCAGCTTTTTTGTTTGGTTTTTAAAAAAACCTGGTGCATTATTTAAACATTTAAAACTTGCTTGTAGTCATATTTGCACTTTCTCTCTATGTTTTCAGTGAGCTGTATGAGCACCACTATAACAGCAGCACAGGGAAGGTTTTGTTTACTGCTGCCAAGATGTTATGCCATATGCTGGAGGCGGATGTCCCCATGGTGCTTCCTGATGACATGGATTTGCCAGCAGTGATTCATGATCTGGCCTGTCAGGCTATCACCGTGTGTCATTCAGGTAAAGAACACATGAAAGCATCACAAACGTTCAACAGTATTTCACACAGGTGAAAGTTGCACTAAAGTGACTCAGCCCTGGATCTATAGTTTTACTGTAAAATATATTTTGCTGTAAAAAGTGAATACATGCGTGATATCAAAGTTTGACAGGATTTTTTTTACCCTAACTATCTTAAAACAAATTTAAAAAAAAATACAGTTATCACTTATCTTTGTCTGGTCTTTTTAAAGCAGCTGCCTTTCCTCAGCCCAACAGAGTGAAAATATAGTTGGTTGAGATGTTTTTGTTTTTTTACCCTCAGCCAACAAAGGCTGGTGGGGTTTTGTGGTTACTCTGCTAGATGAGTAGGTGAGCAAGTGACAAAGACACTTACATTTTTAAATGTGATAAACCAGAATGAAGCAAAGTAGCAGGTCCAACATGATATCATATGTGTATCTACTCGAGGCTGAGGGATACCACTACCAGTAGTCTTTTGTGTTTATGACTGGTACAAAGGTGGTGTTCATATTTAAAATCAAAGTGTTAAATTACGTGTGAATGCTCTTAAAGCCAAAACCTCAGGCTTCAGCCTGCTCTGAATGCTAAATGACTCTGTAGGACGTCATTGAGAGATGCACTTTTTAATATCTTCTGTTTGTGAGGGGCATCCAATCACAAAATCAAGTTAAAGGGAGAGTCAAGATGTAAAAAAACATCTAGAAGAAGGAATTTTTTCAACTGGTCTAAGTGAGCATAACGTGTCTTATTCCCCTTACCTTTTCATATAATTTGCAAGTTTGCAAATTCTGAGGTTTATCTTGTATTAACTGTTACAGATCTTCTCCTGGATTGTTTGGAGCTTTGCAAATGCACACGGTTTGCTATGGATGTCTATCATCAGTGTCAGTTATCAGACAACTATGGCTTTATCGTCAAGGTCAGTATCTTCCTACCTCTCATCCAGTGTAACTCACATAAACCAGTAGAACAAAGAAAACATTTCAGATGTTTAAACTGAAACTTTTCACGACTTGATGAAAAACAATATTAGTTTGTTTTGAATTTGATGACAGCAACATGTCTCAAAAAGAGGAGGATGTAGCAAAAGGCTTAACAGCAACAGGCCAGTAACAAGATTTTCTGTAAAAAGAGTTTCAGAGATTGAGGTGCTATGGAATTGGCAGCTTGCATATCTGAAAAGGCACCATCAATGCTGGAAGGTATATACAGATTTTCAAATAACGTGCTCCCATATGTAAGCGGGACTTACATATTTCAGTGAAACAATGCTAAGCTGCATATTGGAGCTTTTACAACAGCATGGCTTGAAGGTGAAGTTGCAGGTGCAGAACTGGCTTCCCTGTAGTCCAGACATTTGAGCAGCTGAAAACATTTGGCATATCATGAAATAAAAAAATACAACAAACCAGACTGCTGAGCAGCTAGAATCCTATATGAGACAAGAATGGGACAACATTCCTCCACAAGAAGTCCAGCAGCTGGTCTCTTGAGAGCGCCGATGCTTATAGACTGTTTGGGGTGCTACACTGTGGTAAACGTGGCCTTGTACCAAGTTGTTTTGTATTACTGCCATCAAATTCAAAACAAGCTCATATTTTCCATGAAATTGTACTTTTTCTCAGTTTAAATATTTCATATGTTTTCTATGTGATTTGAATGACATCTGGGTTCGTGAGATTTGAAGATCATTGCCTTTGGGTTTTACTTTTATTTTACACAAACTTTTTGGACATAGAATTGTATATTCTAGCCTCTTCATTTTTTTAAATGATTTATTTGTTGGTAGACATCTAAATTATTATCATTACAAAATTCTAACTGTGAATCTCTTAAGCGGATGGTAAGAAATAATCCATGATTTTGATAAACGTGCATTTATTTAATGCTTCTCTCTCACAAAGCTGCGGAGTGAAGCAAATGTTTTCATACTTTTTAAACTGTGCACCGTTCCAGGATTTGACACCGGAGGCAGAAAAAGACCCACAGTCTCAGTGGAGTTTTCAAGATGTCTTTAATGAAGATTGCATTGTTCTGGACCCAGTGTCAGTGCTGCCTGTCCAGTATGAGATTACCAACTGCTTGCTACCTATTTCTCAAGGTAAGAAATTCTCAGATTTATTTTCTCTTAAATGTTTTTTTGTTTTTTTGGGGGGTTTAAGCTTGGCAACTCTTAGTGGTCTATGCCATTGATTTTAACTACTGATATTTATTTAATTTTGCAAACTGATTTGATCGTATTACTTTTATGTTGCATATTTCTCATGCTGCCTGTCATATAATGTCTATAGCCCTTTGGCCACCTTTGACGTTATCAAAAAATGCTTAAATATACTTGACTTGTGTTATTTTTACCAGAAGTCTTATTATAACTTATGACCTTTTTTCCAGATACCAGATTGTACTCCCTGGACTGTTCCTGTCTGTCACACTGCTCATTTGAAGATGGTAGATTTGAAATTAAAAAACGTCCTCTGCTTTCTATGTTTTGTTTTTTTATCAAATTGCAGTTTTGTATGTTGACCTGATGTCTCATCATGCATGCAGGTTCAAACTACCTGCGGCCGCTCTTCGGTCCCCTGGCCAACATGCTACAGATGTTACAGGAGTGCAGTCAGCTGGAATTGGCCCTCAGAGTGCTGGTCAACGCGTACGGCAGCTGCCTGCAGCACGTCACCTCAAACGTCATGGATATAAAGCTGAGCCTACAGGTACAACTGCGATATTCACAGCGGTGCTTGTTGTGTTTCTCAAGACGTTATACTGAAAATGATTATCTCCTCTCAGCTTTATGACGCACAAGAGCTTAAGAAGTACAACCTGTGCCTGAACGATCACAGGAAGACAACTACGTCTACTCTGAATGCTGTGGCTGTGCCACTGTTGAACAAGGTGAGTCAGCCAAGTCCACAAAACCACAAAAATTCTGTAGTAGATAAACAGCATTTTTGGTATATTTTAAATAGCCATCTATGTTTCTGTCTATTGGCTACAGGTGTTAAACTGGAGGGTGGTGGATTGTGATTTGGCTATTGGTCTCTGTACACTCCTCTCCAAAGCAGAAGTCTTCAAAATACTGTGGAAAGTTATTGACAACACCTGGCAAAACTATGACAAGATTTTGGTAAGCAATAAAATCTCTTCTTTTTAAAAAAAATGTAATTAAAAAAAATGTTTTATAGTTTTTAGTAAGGGAAATTTAAGAGAAACAAATGGGCAAAAACGGACTTTATTATTTCTGTGTATCAGTTAGTGAGTCCATAAATATCAGACTTTGTCATATCGTTTTGTTTTTTCCCTTTGACTACAGAAAAGATTCAGCTGAAGTTTGTCTAAAGAACCTGAGATTAAACACTTGGGGAATCAGTTATATCAAGCAGTTATCAATTTTGTAGAAAAATCGATGTTATATTCCAGAAATCCCTTACGGTGTTTTATTCTTCCAGGCTGTGGCGAGGATTGGAGCAAATCTCTGTAGTTTATATAATGAGGCAGAAGAACAGAGGAGGTTTCTCTCTGTCATCACTGATGCTGAGTGGGGAATCAAGCTTGGCAAATTGGAGGTAATGAAGTATTTAAATCAGGTGGTCAAAGGTACTCTGGTCTGAATAAATGCAATGCTCACATTAAAGGAATACTTAGAAAACACATCAGGTCTCAATGGGAAAATCATGCTGATATCTACAGTGATATGGACTAGATAATGTGTTACATATGAATGGATGCCGCTATGTTTGATCAATATTAATTCAAAGACAGCCACAAAATCAAAGTCCATTTTGCAAAAATGTCAGTGCAGCAACTCTGAGTTGCTGACTCAGCAGTTTGTATGGCCCCCACATGCTTGTGCCTCACCACATGAGGCTGAGCATTGTCATGCACCAGGAGGAACCCAGGACCCACTGCACCACGGGGACATGGATTTTATCCTGATACCTAATGACAATCAGGATACCACTGCCTAGCCTGTAGAGGTCTCTGCCTCCCTCCATTGATTTTCCTCCACAGGCATATCACTGACTCACCACCAAACTGGTCATGCTGAACGATGTTACAGGCAGCTTAACGCTCTCCTTACCCTCTCCAGACCCTTTCACTTCTCTCACATGTTCTGAGGGTGAACCCGTCTTTCATTTGTGAAAAGTGGTGGACCTGAATTCTGGTATTCATAGCTAATACCAATCAGGCTCTATGGTGCCAGGCAGGGAGCACAGCGCCCAGTAGAGAACATTGTGCACTCAGGCGAATCAAAGTCATTCACACCAGTGGCCTACTGGATGTAATTTTATAGCTCTGGCAGTGCTCAAACCTGCTTTTGGGTTAAAGACCTTCTATGGTCCTGTCCAGCTCTACTAGAGTAACTGTCTGTCTCCTGGAATCTCCTCCATGCTACTAAAACTGTTCTTGGAGACAGCAAACCTTCTGGCACTGGCACATATGCATGCGCCATCCACGAGGAGTTGGACTACCTGTGCACCCTCTGCAGAGTGCAGGTATTACCTCATGTTACCAGCAGTGACACTGACGCTAGCCAAATGCAAAACTAGCAACAAAAGAAAAACAGTCAGAAAAGACGAGGAGAGGGAAAATGTGGGGGTTGTTGCCCTACTAGTGCACCTGCTGTTAATTTTAATAACACCAAAGCAGCTGAAACTACTTAACAACTCCCCCCCTACTAAACTGACCTAATGTACTCTGATTTAAAAGTGTTCCTTTAATTTTTTGAGCAGTGTAGGTCTATAAAGATTTGTTTAATTTTTTGTGTATTTCATTCTCTCTCCCTGTTTTGTGTCACTTCATATCTGTTATTGTGCGTCTCTCTCCCAGATATCAATCCAGCCAGTGTTCCGTCAGCGGTCTGAGATGAAGAGCACTCTGATCCCTGTTTTAGTGAAAAACAAGAGAATCACCCCAGACATTATCCTCCAGTACTGCAGGTCAGCTCCTCCTATTGTCGCTTTTGACCATCTAACATGTTGGACAAATGTGTCTGGACTGTGTTTAAATGTCCACCCTGTCTTGGAGTGCATGTATGTGTCACGCTCAGCTATGCTAAAAGTTGTTTTTTTCCTTTCTGCAGCACCTACAATCTGGACCATGATAGTGTAATCAACCAGTACATTACCACCTTACTGCTGCTCCAGGAGGATGAGGAAGGTGCAGGTGATCCAGCTGTCGGTCAGGAGGAGGCGCAACCTCTGTCTCACACTGACACGCTGGATCGAGTCCTGCAGATCATCCCAATGTTACACAACACCAGCAAGCTCACAGACAACCTCTGTGCTGCCATATTCAAGGTCTTTGTATTTAAAATGTAGTATACGCTAAAATTATCTGTTTTTAAGACTTTTAAACATTAAAAAAATAAAATTCCAACCTACAAGAATCTGTTGAGCTGATCTGTAAAACGTTTCCTCTCATACAGCTCAGCCCATACAACTACGAGAGAATAGAAGTGGTGCTGAAGATCATACAGGCTGCAGATGAGAACGTGACCAGCCTCTCTGTGGGTCAGGTAAAAACCAAACACACTGGCATATGCAAGCCTATGTAGTTCACTGTGTTCAAAATGAAATGTTGGGACTTGAAACATTTGACTTTAAACCCACAGGCGATGGGTCTCCTGCAGCATCTGAAGTCCTACACGCGAGTCTCTCCTCCCACAGACGTGGAGAACACGCATCTTCTCGAAACCGGTCTGCTGCCAAACCCCCTTTCCAGCAGCAGACTTCCCTTCCACCTGCTTATGCAGACCAAGCATTACTGGAAGATTATCTGTAAGTTAACCACTGTTACCTTTTCACACCTCAGTATTAATGCTCATAAACTTATCTTCATCACATCTGCAGTGGTAGAAAGTTGTTATAATGTAGGTGTTGTCTAAAAGGAAGTAATTTCAGCACTTCTCCTGAACTGTGAACATGTTTGCACACTGGCATCTATTACTTTTAAAATAATAATTATCATAGACCAGAAGCAAAAAGCTCCATTTGTGGTCAGTATTTACTTTTAAGGGTATTGTATTGTAAGTGGACATCAATAACTTAAGCTTATTATATAATATTACAAATACAGTATATTTCTAACTAACTAGGTAGCTCATTCTCTTTAATCATAGTTTTAAAGACATTTTATTAAGGTTTGACCTTATTTGACCTGGAAGAACAGGCCAGAGGTCAAAAGTGAAACACACCAAAAATTTAAGAATTATAGTTCAAAGGCTTTGGTTGACTTAAGCCAATTTTTAATGGATTGTTAACATGACCCCACTCTACACTCCAACAAAGTTTTTATCATTTTTCATTAAAAGCCTTTTGAGTTACAGACAGAAGTATACTGGTAGAGTTGATGAGATGGTTTAAAACTGATGAAGTTAAAATATTCTTCTTTGTTTAGGTCCTGAGCTCAGCGAGGAGACCTTCCCCACACTTCTGCTGATTAGCAAACTCATGAAGGTAAAGCCACGCTAATCTAAACCACGGCCTTAGTCTGTTTAATCACAGAAAATATTCTTTTATTCATAAAATGAGGTAATTTAGGCTGTTAAAACCATCCTGTTGCTCTACAGGTGAGCCTTGACAAGCTCTACATGTCAGCAGCAAACCATGTCTTTGAGAAGAAAATGAAGCCGTTAATCTTAGAGCAAAGGAAAATGGGTCAGGGGCATTGTCAAAACAAGGAGACTTTCAAGGTGGCGAAGACTATGATGAAGTACATCAAATGTATCCAAAGCCCGGAGTGGGCTGCTGCCACGGCCCACAAGATAACCCAGGAGCTTCCGCCAGGTTTGAGCTGCACGTTTGACTCTACGCTGGACTGTGAGGGGTGTTTGTATAGATGCACTTAGCAGTTTCCTCTTCTCTACAGGCTATGAGAAGACACAGTCACTCAGGTTCTGTTTGGCACTTGGAGACACTTGGTTAAAGGATCCACACCTTGATGTCAGTCTTTGAATTGTTCACATTCTGAAATGTCTCAAATGCCCATCTAAAAAGTTTTTTACACATTAGTTGATGATTTTTTTTTTTTCCTCTCCTTCTCCTCCTCTGACCTCACACAGGAGGTAGCACGGGCCAGAGGAGACACCTTTCTGTCCAAGCTGAAGCTACAGTTTCAGCGCTCAGCCACTGAGAATACTTTAATATCCAGTCAGCTGAACAGCCCAGAGCTGATGAAGCTGTCTGGGCTGCCAGGCAGGCTCATAATGGCCCTTTACGAGCACAGCAGTGTGGAACAGCGTTACAAAGAGTCAGGAGGTCAGACGTATCCAGGTGAGCACACTTATCAACGCAGTAGGTAAATGAATGCTCGCTTTTTCCCTAAATATATAACCAGGTCTCTCTATTTCTCAGATATACATGGTGCAGTTAAAGAAATAGCCACAGTCAATAATGTGGATCTTCTAAAAATCCGTACCATGTTGTTAGAAAAATGGATCTGCAAGACGGGCCCGGCTGTGGTCAAGGTTTGTCAGTCGTAGCTTTATCTTATCTCTCTGCCTTTTTATTGTTTTGTGTGTTATCAGATTTGCTGCTGTGTGTTTAGTGCAACTAAACTTTTTTTCTTTCTTCTTATTTAATTAGGATATTGGGTATAGTGACTGTGTCAGCAACATTGAGGAGGACCCAGACTTGATGAGGTAGCGCAGTCACTTTTTCCATTCTTACTACTTTTCTTTTTTCTTAATTATAATTCGTTAAAACGGGATAGTTTACCTTTGAGTTACAAAGGATGTTAGCAGTGACACTGCAGTGTGTCTTCTGCTCAGCTGTCAACTCTGCCCTCATAGGCAACCACAGATCGAGACCTCAAAGCTCACATGTACGACAGAGCAGCCGCAGACATGCAAGTGCAACCCTAAGATATCAGTTACTGTTTACAGAGTGCTTTCTTTCTTTCTTTCTTTCTTTCTTACAAAAGCCTTTAGCAGCGCCCACAGATGTTGCATGCATCTGCAGTATGAATGAAATAAAGATTTCTTGGTTGCTCTAAATTCTCTCTGGCTCTGTGTTGAGAACCCACTGGCGTAGTCATTCTACTCACTGTGTTTTTAATGCTTACAGGGTGGTGTACATGCTGGAGTCCTGCTCGATGCAAGATGCCGTCCGTCATCTGAGCCCTATCTTAACTGCAGAAACTTGGGTGCGTTTAAAGGGAAAAAAACAAAACAAAAGCAATAATGGGGGGAAAATCCAACTAAATCTGTGTTTGATTTCCCTTCTCTAGCCGCTTAGCACATCTGGGCCTCGTCTGACCTTCTGCCATCGGACTCGAGCGCTACTCTGTCTCGTCCGCCTCGCTGATGCACCCATTCTGGAGGCTCAGCTGCAAATCCCCATCACCAAAATCCCGTAAGAATCCATTAAAAGTTAAACGGTACCTGTATGGCCTGTAGGTCTATAGTAACTAATGTTTCTAATGTTTCTCTGGTTTCTATTCATATGCAGATATTACCTGAAGTGTTACATCTTTGTCTCACAACTGGAAGCATTAAACATCCCGTACACAGTTCAGTCCTTCCTCAGTAGTCCCAAAGAGGGTTTAGTTAAAGGGCTTTGGAAGAACCACAGTCATGAGCCTCAGGTACTTTCTCACAGACAACATTCAAATTATCCCAGCTTGTTTCCTCACTTTTACTTCATTGGGTTAGAAATGTCAGACACAAAACCGGAAGCACCTTTTATCCTTTCAGGCTGTGCGGTTGGTGGCAGACCTGTGCCTGGAGTACCAGATTTACGACCCTCAGCTGTGGAACAACCTGCTTCAGAAGCTGCTCGGCTTCAACCTGGTGAGAACGTGCATCACGCTTTTATTCAAAGACCCAAAAAACAAGTAGCGTAAAATGAGAGGGGTTTTTTTCTCCAGTACTTGGAAATATTTTCAAGCTGAAGATCCATAAATACATTATTCCTAAATAGAAGCTGGGTTGTGTTTCGGAAGTAACACCTGAATGTAAATATTTCTCTTCCTCAGATCAGCCACCTCCAGAAGGTATTGGAGGCAATAGTGGCTGTTCCGGCTTTGTGGGAGGTAATTCATCACTTTTATTTCACGAATTGAAAAAAGGCATTTTTTTCACTTGTAAAACCATTTTCTCTAAAGTGTCATAAACCATAAATGCCTAATGTCTTTACAGTAATGCAGCACTGGAGTTGATGCTCAGACATTTGTGCAGAGCATCGGCTTTGGTTGTTTATGTGTGTGTTTATGTGTTTGTTGGAACGAAAGCAGTGGCATTGCATTTGGTAGAGCACGGTTTAACCACTGCACCACAGGATGTCCGGTGCCAGAAATAACTTTCCAGTTTGACAACGAGTAATTATTTTATTTGTGCTCTGCAGATTTCAAGTTTCTCACGGACCTGGAGGAGCATGATACTGGCACCTTTTGTCTCAGGTACGACGCAAATGACTGAAATTTGCTTGTCTTGGTGCTCGTTGATGTTCAGATATCCACTTTCTTCATATTGGAAGCTTTAGCCCCAAACTTGTTCACCCTGCAGGCTTAAGACTTGTACAAACAAGTTACATGTGTCTTGTTCCTCTTTCATTGGCAAGTAAAAGATGAAAAATTACTTTATGTTGAAATGTTTTGGCAAGAGTGGTGCAACTTTAGGCTTTGTGTATAGTTACAGCAATGCAACCCAATAACAGAAAGGCATGTATGAGGTAGGACTGCCCATCATGAGCTGTGGTCAGTAAAAGACTGGGTTAATAACTCTACCTTATGAGCCACAGCTTCCCCTTGAAGAGTCAGAATAATGAGACTCGTGAGTAAGGGCTTTAATGCAGGTTCATAAAAATAAAAAAAACCGAAGAAGAAAAGTAGGAGCTGAAGTTTATTTTGCTGCTTTAAACTTTTTCGAGAAGTCTTTCTCTTAAGCCTTTCAGCATCAGAATTTCGAAACCACCCATAAGCAATTCCCCAAAACCAAGACAGGCTTGATCAGATCTAACAACAAATAATGCTGTGTACGCCACTTCATACAAGTGAGCTGTTTCTGAGGCAAAGCTGATAATGGGGTGTACTAAAATAAGTATAAGGGCAAAAGAAATTATATATGCAACAGTGATTTTTTTTTTTTTTAAAGAAAGGAAAAAAAACTGGGATTAACTTAAAGAAGAGAAACATGTCAGCTCTCTAAGAGAGTAGTGCAAATTACATTGAGAAATAACAGGTTTAGGCAAATCTGAGAAACAGCTGCAAGAATAATACAGACTTATGTGAGTTAAATCTGACAGATGTGCTCATCTGTACAGTACTACTGTTTTATAGAGGATGGTAGGGATGATTACCTGAAGCAGGGTCAGTGCAGATCATTAATGTGGACATGACGGTATGCTGTCACTGAGTATAAGTTCCCTTCACTAGCCAAACGCTTCCTATGAAGCCTTTTAAAGTTGATGATGCATGTGTGCTCTTCTCTGTTCAGCTCTTCTTTTAAATGCAGTTGTTTGTTTGTTTGTTCTTATTTTTTGGCACCAGCTTCTGTTCCTCTGAGTCCAGATCAGCAGGCGATGCTCTACAGGACATTTGTTCTCCTCCTCAAGTATGCCTCACTCACATTCAGCTATAACCACCAAACTGATTCTTTCATGGACTTCTTGTGTTTGAATAGGGCAGCATACTGTGCGTACACTCTTTATTAATTTAAAAGCAAAAATAAATCTTGATACAACTTTTTCAATCAGGACTTGAAAACTCTGGCTGTGCTACAAAAACAAAAGAGGCCTTGCACGTAGATAAAGATGCAAATACTCGATAAGACTATATAAAGTGTTCACACTTAAAATATACTGGTCAGCAAGTGTTTTTAAATAGGCATTATACATCAACTATAATAGAAGCTCAAACAAGAGATCTAAAATGAGGTATGACCTCCTGTGGACACGATGCATGCTGTTGTGCATCTGTGCATTGATGGTACAAGTGTTGAAGAATTGCTCTTCCATACTGGTTGAGTACAGTCAATGAATAGTCACCGGTTGTGCCTGCCTTGAAAAAATTGTATGTTCAGTAGGTGGCATATTAGAAATAAGTAAGCTAGGGATATGTCAGGATATGCTCCTGATCCACAAAGACCTGTCCTGTGTGGACAGGTATTGTCTTGCTAAAACAGGATGTGGTGCTGCTGCAAGAATGGTACAAGTACTGGTTGGAGCACCTCATCCCGGTGCCTCAGTGCAGTCAGATTTCTTCTGAGAACGATCAGGAAATGCAAGGCTGCTGCAGCAGATGCATGCAGGCATCCAGGGTGCCAGTAACTCAGTCAGCTTCAGTCAGCTGTAGCACCAATGATCTTATACATGCTTGGGGTTTTGTTTGTTTGTTTGTTTTAGCTTTTTTGGTGTTCTGAGACAAGTGGCTTAAAAATGCAGTAAACTGAACCCGTGTGTAGTTCATTTGTGTTCAATAAATAGATTTCCAATGCCATCACTGACTAAAACCAGTCAGAACCAGGAATTGGGGCACATCTGTATGCTGTGTTTTCACATCAGCAGCCATGATTTGATTCAGAAGAACAACAGTTTCATGACACATGACATCATCACAGTGAATGAGTGTAAAAGGCTGTGTTTTGTTCTTAATGCAGTGATGTAGGTCTAAACTGCAATATCATGTACTTGTATATATGTTTTTCTCAGTTTAGATAAGATATTAATAATGAAAGTTGATATTGAATGTATGTGGATTGTTTTGAGTCAGCAGTTAATGAGGTCACTGCCTGTTCTGCCCTTTGTGTGGTCTTTTGCTTATTTTATCTACGCTAATGTTTCCCTATAAGGAAATTATGTTTGCCACTGCTGGCCTATATACACTGCATATGTTCTGTATGTACTTTGAATGCTTGTATAATTGTGTTTTTCCAAAAGACACATAAAATATACGCTGGTCAAACAATAATTAAAGGAACGCTAATCAGAGTATAGCATCAGGTCAGTTAAACGTCTGGGTCAGTTCAGTAGCAGACGGGGTGGTTAATCAGTTTCAGCTGCTTTGATCTTAATGAAAACTAGAAACATTTGCATTTCCTGCAAAAATGCTGTGTGGATGCCTTAACGCTGAAGATTTCTGCTGAAAAGAGCTGAAAAAGTTGAAAAAAACATTGCCCTGAGCAGGATTCAAACCTGGCCCTTCTGGTCTCAAGGCAGCTACTCATCTCATTGAGATTCTCACAAAGAAGATGTGGAGAGACTGACAATTGTGCTGAAATGAGCAGAAGCGGCTGAGAATTGTGCTGATAAGAGGTGAAAAGGCTGAAAATTTTGCAGAAAAGAGGTGAATCAGAAGAATTTGTGCTGAAAAGAGGTTAATCAGAAGAATTTCTGCTGAAAAGAGGTTAATCAGAAGAATTTCTGCTGAAAAGAGGTTAATCAGAAGAATTTGTGCTGAAAAGAGGTTAATCAGAAGAATTTCTGCTGAAAAGAGGTTAATCAGAAGAATTTCTGCTGAAAAGAGGTTAATCAGAAGAATTTCTGCTGAAAAGAGGTTTTTGCTGAAAACAGCTGAAAAAGCTGGTATTTGTGCTGAAAGTGGTAAAAAAAACCTTAAAATTCTGCTGAAAAGGGGTGAAAAAATTTAACTGTTAACTGAAAGAAATGTTGCCATAAGCGGGATTTGAACCCGGACCTCCCAGTCTGAGAATGGCTGCTCATCTCACTGAGCTAAAACACAGCTCAGCCCGGCAAGGAAAATCAGTGACCACACTGATAATGTGGAAGAAATGGGCAAAAAAATATTGCATAAAAAATTCAATATCTCAAAAAGTATAGAAGTTATGAGCACCAAAAGTCATAGCAATAATTAGCAGAAAGAGCAGAATTTTTCAAAGTTTGAACAGTGCAAATAGCATGAAAACTGAGGGAGTAGTTAAGCGGCAAAAAACGTACGGAAGCAACCAGAATAAAGTATAATAAAGTATAAAGAGAAACAGGAACTCAATAGTGTGGATGCCCTTTGAGGGCATCCACACACAATAACAACAGGTGCACTACAGGGTCCGACAATGAGACAGCCTCCAAAAGGGAATGGTTTTATAGGTGGAGTCCACTGACATTTTTCCCTTATTTTTTCTGACTGGTTTTTCATTTGGTGTCAGCGTCACTACTGGAAACATGAGGTGATACCTGGTCCTTGCAGAGAGAGTGCACAGGTAGTCCAACAACAGTCTCAAGAGCATGGAGATTCTAAGAGAGAGATAGTTAATCTAGAAGAGCTGGACAGAATACCAGAACTGGCAGGTCCACCACTAGTGCACTGTGCTTTTCAAAGATGAGACCAGCTTCACCCTGTGGACATGAGACGCATGTGAAAATGTCAGGAGCAGCGGTGGAGAACGTTATGCTGCGCATTATGATATTTTCAGGCATGCATTCAGGCTTGTGGGGGCCATACAAACTACTGAGTGCCATTCTGAGTTGCTGCAGTGAAATCTTTGAAAACTGGACTAACTTGCTGCATCTTTTTTTATTGATTTTTTTTACTTTGATTTTCAGGGTCTCTTTGAATGTGGCATTCTGCCTATTCTAACATATTACCTAGTCCATTTCAGACAGATAGATGGATGGATGTCCAGCATAATTCCTTCCCCATTGTGTTTTCTAAGTGTTCGTTTAATATTTTGGACAGTTTATAAACACACTACTTCCGTCTGATTCATTTCTGAATTAGTATTAGACCTGAGTAATGCTTCATCTAATCTTCACCTTAACTCCTAATGTCTCGCCATTGCTTTTCCCTCCCGAGGTGCCCATTTCTGTTGAATCTGGATTTGATCGGAATTGCCAATCGCTTTGCACAGTTCAATCTGCCAGCCTTCGCCCTGGGAACGCTCCTTCTAATTCCCTGTGCTAGTAAGAAGGAGCAGCAGGTCCAGGTCAGTGCATCCATTTAAATACATGTGAGAAGTAAACGTGTAGTTTAGGCTCTGACTCTTTTTTTTGTTGTTGTTTGCAGGGTTTCCTGTCTGTCTGCAACCCGCTCGCCGTGCTCGAGCAGGTGGACGAGCTTATGAACACCGGGGAACTCGCTGGTATTCCTTCACAGGTTAGATGTGACGTCTTTCCACTGCTTACAGATTTAACTGCCTTTAACACTTGTTACCACATTTTACTTTCATTTAGAAATGTCCACTTCAGCTACATTGTCATTTCATTTAATCTTTCTTTGTTTCTAAATATATTTTAAAAATAGAATTCTTTTTATTTTTTTAGACATTAATATTTCTGAGTATCAGCACACTCCTTAAAACCGTTAAACAGGAAGTCTGATCAGCTGATAAGATGGTGTGAAATTATGAAAGATATTTTTTTGTGTGTCGGAAAAACAGTGTTGCTAACCAAACACAGAAATAAACCCAATCTTCACGTGAGCAGATTTGCTGTTTTGTAACATCTGATGAAATGAAATTCATCTGCATTCTTCATTGTGATTCTCATATAAACAAAATTATAGAGTACATTATGTTATATATTTAATGTCTTATACTACATGACTTAATTTTCTTAATGATCCATCAGGTCAGGGAGACTGTGTTAACTTTCATCAGCCAGAATGGACAGCATCAGAAACTGCTGAAGACGAAACACTTCAGCCATCTGAAGCAGCTCATAGTGTCGAGTGGGCAGCCTAACCAAGTGAAAGATTTGGTGGACTATCTGATCAGCCAGAACTGGTGAGATTCACACCGCTCAACCTTTCATAGGAAAGCAACAAAACTTTTCTATAGAGATGGTTTAAAAACATCAACAATAAACTGATGCATAGTGCTGTGATCTAAAAAGTCTAAAACCTGATGTAATCATCCATACAAGGATATAAAGAGCGGGTACCTGTCCTTCCAACCCTCATATAAATGGAAGGAGACTAACAATGATCTACATGTGCCTATGATATCTATGAGCTGTGATCTAAAGCTTTCATTATTATACACATAAAAATCCAGTCTATAACCACGCACTGAGACGCCTCCTCTGCATTGATCTGTAATGGCCAGATCCCCAATCTGCAATTTCACCATGGGCCTCAGACTTGCACAGGAAAAAAAACATCAGCTTTTTAAAACAGGAAGTTATTGGGATACAGTACCACACAGTCGTGTGAAAAACGAGCACACCACCTTCTTTCAAGTCTAAGAGTTTACGCATCAGTGCACAATTTTTAAATTATCTGGTCGTTCCCAGGTTCTAAAATTATTTAGATACAATGTTAGATGAACAACAACACAACATAATTACGCTAGTTCATCATTTATTGAGAAAAAAGAAAACACAGACGCTGCATGTGAAAACTAACTACACCCCATGATTCTGTTTGCTTGTACCTTTATCCGAACATTGAGTTTGGTTTTAGATAAGAAGATAAGATAAGATAAAACTTTATTAATCCCTCGGGTGGGTTTCTCTGGGAAATTCGGTTTCCAAAAGCACAGCACCAACAGAAGTTAGAGAGTTACAGAATATTATATATATACACACACACACACACACATATAAATACAGAGACATATATAAATAAAATATACAAAGGGGATGAATAGAATAAATAGGAATAAAAATACAAGTGAATTGCACATTTTTTAATTCAGTTTATTGAGGTTTGCAGATGTTCTGTCTTAAGATCTGACCACAGCATTTAAATCAGGATGAGGTCTGCTCTTTAACCGGATCAGTGCAAAATCTTGGTGTTTTTCTATTTCAACCATTCAGCGTAGATTTGTTGCAGTGCTTGGGATCATTGGGCCTCATTTACTCATTCACAGTGCATATGCACAAATCTGTGATTTATCAATATTTTTGTATTTTAGGAACAAATTTAGTTTAGGTCAGTTCCTCTGACCAAACATACGTACAACAAACACCTGGCTGCCTTATGAATTTGAACACAAATCTGTAAAATGAGTAAGGCTGCTACTACTACTACTACTACTACTACTACTACTACTACTACTACTACTACTACTACTACTACTACTACTACTACTACTACTACTACTAACAATCATTAGCAATTATCATTGAATTTTGGTTTTTATTCATAGCTTTCTAAAACGCATTAAGCCACAAAATGCTCAAGACTACAAAAAAGGCACGTGAAGAAAACAAAATACTATCGCCAAGGGGAAGCACAGCCACCCTTTGGTGGAAGCTTATTTGTGCATCCGATTCTTTCAGTCACTACCCGAAGCTCGCGAGGTTCTCGTGTGGGGCTGATGGATCACGTGGTTCCTCAGCCTCCACCTGTTTTAATCTTTTTATTCCTTGTGGTATTTTGTTTTTATGTCAACTTTGATTCCAAACTTTGGTGCACAGGGAATCTCTCAGGAGAAATTATATTCTGTTATTTCAGGCCTGCGTGCTTATTTTATTTATTATTTTTGAAACTTCTTTGGTCTCTTCTGGCTTCCTCTTTCAGCATCCAGACACTGTTATTTAATTTTATATGGTCAGACTTTCTTCTTGTTTCTTGCCTCAGAGGTGCAGGATTCTGTCTTATAACATCGTCACCACTTTCTCTTCACTTGGAGCTAAGTGTGTTCACTTATGTTGAGAAGCCATGGCGGGGAAGTGCGCAGATAATAGGCAAATTATATGGGGCTCCCACAAGGCTGCTGGTTTTGAACTATTCTGATTTACTAACATACCCACAGTGGTGAGAATTACATAGGCCAGTTTGCAGGTTTCTGAATCTGACTGTAATTTTGCATGCAAACTAATTTGTTGCACATGATAAAAACATTTCCACCCAAATATTAGTAAATGAGGCCCATTATTCTGGCTTCAGCTGTTGTGACTCTAGAATACTTTGATATACTAAGTTAATGGTGAATCCTGAATACTCCTGACCTGCAAACTGCCAAAACATCTGCTTTCATAGAGGTGCTGATATCTGCTGATGGTCATTTAATCAAATGCTTTTGATTAGCAGCACCTGGCTGCTACTTAGCCTCTCAATTGAAATGAAAGCAGGTTTTCACACACTGCATTTCGGCTCAGTTTGTTCATTTTTTTATTTTTTTTTTTTTATTTTGTCTTCATATCTCAAACCTTTTAACTGGAAGAGGTTGTCATAGACTGGCTGTTATTTAAAAACGCTAGCTCTTACTGTTACTCTTACTTACTCTTAATGTTATCCTACAGTCTCAGGTTGTAGCTCGAAATTCAGATTTTTGCTTCCAGTTTAGTTTAAATGCTCGCACTTAGAACTGTGTTAGAAACAGATGTCTTAAACCGGTTAAAGTTGCATGACTTTAGTTGTCTGTGCTCTTCAATCTTCCCTGCAGCCATGATGATGCTGAATCACTCGCTCGTGAGTACATGAAACACAGAGAGCGTCAGCGAGGGAAAACCCTGACAAATGGCTCGTTGTCATCCAGCTGCCTGAAGGTAACTGAAGTCGATATCTTGGGCCGAGTTTAGTGGAACGTAAAGGCTACACATGTTTGATGTGAAGTAGAAGTTTCTTTTTATTAGCTAAAAGCACTTCACCTGTGTGCATTAATGATTTCATTTGTTTTTCAGGACTTTCTTAACATGCAACACGGAGTATTGAGATGAACCAGCACTATTGCTTCAGCCGTGTTTATATAATCCTCCTTGGTCTGCTTTAGGCTGAGATGCAGTATTTGCACTTCACATTTATCTTTCAGCTGTAATATTTGAATAAACTATTCATTTATGAAAACTGTGGAGATGAGCTATTTAGAAGCAGCAGATCACATGTCAACTTTTATTTTCCACTGTAACTCCAAGTTTGTTTCCTAGGATGTGTATTGAGTTTAACTGTTGATTTTCATTGCACAGCCACACTTTGTACAATATTTTGAAGCTAAAGTACTGTCGCACATCGGTTCTAAAAGAAAGAGGAGCAGTAATCCTAATAAATGATGTACACTGTGTTGCCAAAAGTATCAGCTCATCTGCCGTCACACACATTAAGGAACAAACCAATCTTACTTCATGGAATTTTATACGATGTTGGCCGAACCTTTGCAGCTATAACTTCAACTCTTCTGAAAAGGCTTTGTAAAAGATTTAGAGGTGTTTATGGGATTTATGGGAGTCAAGTTCTTCCACACCAAACTCGGTCATCCAGCTCCCACAGGGCGAGAGGCAGGGTTCACCCTGAACAGGTCACCAATCTGACGCAGGGCTAAGACAACCATTTGCACCGATGGGCAGTTTAGAATCTAACCCCACTATCTGCATGTCTATGGACTGTGGGAGGAAGCCGGAGTACTCTGAGAGAAAATATGAACTCCACCCAGAAAGGTCCCGACCAGATGGTGGTTTCGAACGCGGGACCTACTTGCTGTGCTCACATTTTCCTAAAGTTATTTCTGTTTTCTTTTTAAATACTTGTTACTTTCACATTTATATGAAACAGCTTCCTTATCTCAGTCGTACTTCTTTGGTTCATCAACTTTTTTTTAAACACTGGTCTTGTTTCTGATGGACTACTTCCCGTCACTCGCTGTTAGACGTGACTGTGTGATATTTGAGAGGAAGTGTGCACTCACAGTGAGACCGATCCGAGCTGAACTTTATCCATTCTGAATTTTTCAAAAGATTTATACATTTTGGTCCTCCAGTTTTTTCTTCTCCTTTGCAGCTGTCACTCATTCAAGTGTGCAGAGATTATGTATCACGTTTGCCCATCAAGAACGCTCAGCAAGTTTACTTGTTAGTGGTTTAGCCACACATGGTGTGCCCTTAAATGGACTTATAAAGCTCATCTGTTCCCAGAGAGGAGTGCATTAAATTAATGTCACGAGACTTCCTTTTCAAACTCACTTGCCTCATGGGAAACGGAAGACTTTGTATTCTCTGCGTGGCTTTGTGTTAAAATGACGGTTTTATTTTCATCTAAAATGGCCATTTTGTGAAACTGGTGTCCAGATTTAGTCCGGTCCTTGTTCAAGGAACCTAACTCAAGGTATGAATCAGTGTTGCCCTAGCATTATAGACAACTTGCCAAAGAACCATGTTTAAATTGTATCTTTTGGGACTTTGTTACTAGAAGCAAAAACTAAGAATTTGTTCCTATTTTTTCAGTTTAATCAAAGAAAGGTCAATATACTAACACAGTTTGACAGACTCCCTTGTCTAAGAAAGACCAGACTGTGCTTCAATAAATCGGTGGATGCATTTTTCTGCAAAAAAATTTTTTTTAAATTGAGGGGTGGATCAAGACTTTTGCATAGTGTTCTACAGATTGTGTTCATGTATGCAAAAAGGTCTGAGAAATATGAGATTAAATATGTGTTTATACACTCAAACTGTTGCCCCTCAGAAAACATATAAAGATATATAAACCAATGCATGTTTTTAAATGCAATTTGTATCATTTATGTGTTTTCAATGATTCAAGGACTTGTTTAAGCTGCACAAGAACCATAATTTTAGCTGCGTGTGAATTAAATGAGAAGAAATGGCTTGTTTCTCAGAATGGACAGATCAAGTGTCATAAAGTTATATTTATAAACTCGATTCACAGAAACCAAAGTGTCTGAATCATCTTTGCTGAACTAGGCCATCAGATATTGTACTTCCCCAACTTTAGCTGCAGTTATGAAACTGCAGTTGTGAGTTGGTTAAAATAGTTTCATGTAAGAAAAACAAGACCCAATAGAGTGCCGAATACCAGGAAAACAAATTAATGCACCAAACAGATTTGATAATATACATGTGAAAGATTTTTCTCTAAGGGTTGTGCTCATTGCTTAAAATCTCTTAAGGAACAATCAGGCTTTCATTAAATCCATTGTTTCCTAATTCAAGAGATGATACAGAACCTCAGTGTGTCTCTATCTGGGAGAGCGCATGGAGATTTAGAAAAACGGTGTAGATGGAGCACACATCTGTCTTCTCCTTCGTATCAAGTATTTGTGTGATAGGTCTGGATTTTATATATCATCTGCCATATCTGCATGTCCTGAAAGATTATTCCTAAAGAAGTTATCATTACATCATACTGATATTGCTGTTGCAGCTGCACACTGATATGTTGTTTAGCACTGTTACCTGACGACAAGGAGGTCCTGGGTTCAAACCCACCACTTGCGTGGTGTTTGCATTTTCTCTCGGTATACACCATCTTTGTGCAACAGTCCAAACATCGTTTTTTGATTGATAAACTTACTTTAGTGGGTTTAGGTCAACTCTAAATTACAAAGGGGTGTCAATGTGAGTGTGAACAGCTGACTCTCTTTGTTAGTATTTAGTATTTATTTATTTATTGTCATTGTCAAGAACAATGAAATTGCGTTTGGGGCTTCCATACAACCCAAAAAAAAGAAGAAAATAATAAATACCCCTTAAAACCCAAGTGTACATATTTAACCCAGTGTGACTCCAATGCAATAAGACAATCCTTAGCAATAATGTTCGTAGAAATTCAGACAAAGACCTGAGAAACATGACAAAATACAACAATGCAACCCATTCAATATTATTGTACTGTGAGATATGATATCAGATATGATAGTTATCTATTTAAGAAAGAGGGGGGCAGTAGGAGCTCCAGGCCGCTGCGTCTGTGCGCGCCGCCATCTTAAATCTTTGGTTAGAGAGTCAGCTGTTCACAGACTGTGACAGACTGGCAAGCGGTCCAGGGTGTACCCTCCTTCTACCCCAGCCACGTAAAAGCAGCTATAAACTCCAGTGCCTGTTGTTTTACAGGGAGATATTTTTGAGCCATCTTAACCAGGAGGAGTGTGCTTCATATTGTACTGCTGCAATGCCAGCAGTTTCATTATGATCCCTTCATCGCCCACTTCTGAAAGATTCCAAGAAAACAGGCAACATCTCAGTGTTGACAATAAACTTATATTTATTATCATACGTTCATACAGCATTGGCAAAAGACAAAGAATACATATTCATACAGTTTTGTTGTTTTTATTCAAAGTTGCCTTAATATATATCCATATTTTTAACTCATGTATAAAAGCTTTTATACATTATGTATATATGCAGTATGTTTCTCATTATTATAGTTTTCACATGACAAAAGAAAGAAATCTTATTCAGATGAGGTTATAAATGTCCTTATTTCACATAATCTTTGTTTAATTCACACGTCTTAACGTGTACATGTTTTGGAAGACAAATACATTTAGAAAAGTGCAGTCAGCATTGGTGTGATAGCTTCTAAGCAAGTGATGTGCTGGGGAAAAAAAAAAGAAAAAAGCTTTTCACTGATGAAAAGTTTAATCACTCAGTTCGGAGGATTTCTGTGCCAGTGTGTAGCTTATTATTTCAAAGTGTGAGTGAGACTGCTTTAGCTAGAAACGGCTCTATAGAAGACACAGCTGCATCGTTTTTTGACTTTTAGAGGTTTTTACTCCATAATTGCCATGTTTTGAAAATGCAATTAATAGTAAATATGAAATAGCTTTAGCACTTACAGCTTAATGATGGAATCGATAAACTTACTTTAAATTGAACCTTTAGCTATGAAGCTGCTTGTTATACCTCCTCAGTTTAGTGATCACAGCTGGCTGATCGACTGGGAGCCCGTTTCCCGGGTTTTCTTCTCTGTACTCTCAGCATTTTCTGTTTCAGGCAGATGAAGAGCCTTCCTGCAGATGCTCTTAAAGACGGGGCTGGAGAAGTAGTAGACCACAGGATCCAAAACGCTGTTGAGGTAGGTCAGGCTAATGGTGATGTAAAATACAATGGTAAGGTTTTCCATTTCAGAACACATGTTAGAGGAACCGGCTAATTTATAGGACTTGATCCAGATCACCAGCTGTGTGAAGTTGCTTGGGAGGAAGCAAATGATGAAGAGCACTACCACGACTATGATGAAGTACAAGGCCTTCTTGATCTTGGCATGCTGGGCCAACTGCCTCCCTTTCAGGTTGCGAACGATGCAGAATGTGCAGTAGAGGATGACCAGCAGAGGCATGTAGAAGGAAAACAGAAATGCAAACTTATGCCAGGAAAGATTACCCTTGGTCTTGGTGTCAATCATGAAGCTCTCACAGTACGTTGTGTTGATGTGTGACAAAGAGAAGACATGAGCAGTCATTGAAGTGGTGATCAACCACAGCCCGAGTGCTCCGATTATGGCTTTAGAGACGCTCAGAGAGTTGATGGGATGGTGGGGATGCACCACACGCATGTACCTGTCCACAGCGATGGCCATCAGGAAGAAGGTGCTTCCGCTGCGATTCAGGGCCAGCATGAAGAGGCAGATGTTACAGAGGGCGTTTCCAAACTTCCATTTGATCCCGGCGAAATAGTAGCTGGCACGGAGAGGTAAAACAATATTGAGCAGAAAATCAGCCATTGCCAGGTTAAAGAGCAACACTGTGCTGCTTTTCCAGGGCCTCAGGTGGAAGCAGAAGATCCACAGAGCCAAACCATTACCAAGAACTCCCAGGACAAACTCTGTCATCAGCAGAGGAGGGAGGACATTGATCAGCAGAGTGCCATTGAAGCTGCAACGCATCGTGAGCTACGTGCCTCTTTGATGTCTTCACAAAAAGAAACGACTCCTTTGGAGCTGCCCGTACTCTTTAAAGGGAAATGCAAATGCAAAAAAAGTGTGATTATGTGGTTCAGCCTTTACCCGGAAGCCTGATGCTTCTGCTTTTTTTTTTTTTTTTTTTTAGGTGTTAACAAGCAATTAGTTGTCTGTCTTGGTGGTGTTAAATATCTGTAGAAATAAAGAAATAAAAATAAAGGTGATAACAAAAAAATCACTTTTACACATCTCTGCATGCAGAAATATTTTCAGCTGTTTATCCTTGGAGTTTTATAAACCTTATGTTGTCACACTGCATGGCTGCACAGTTAAAACTGTCCTACAAATCTCTGAGCACATAAGCAGGAACTCATGCCTGTGATGAAGCACTCCTCACATCTTTACCTCAGTCCACACAGGGCCTTTCATGGAGAACTGAAGACTCTCTCTTTCATAGATAACTATTTCACACTCCACTAAGAAGCTTTTCTCATGAATCACAAAGACTAGATAATGATCTGTGTTGGTTTTTATTGTGCACTCTCTATGTACAGGAAGTTTAGCATTTATTTTTATTATCCTAATAATATAATAATAAGCAAGTTCTTATTCTGGGACAATCACCCACTGCTGTGCAGCTAGCGTGAGAAAGTTCAGCAATTATAAAAAGCCACATTGTACCGCATTGGTTTTATTTACCATGTGCCAAAAAAATTTTACACAAAGGCTTCACTTTGTTGCATGCATTGTGGAGAAGTGTTTAACCTGCATCTGCTGCATCACCTTTTTCATGAAGCTACCTAACACCAGGTAGTATGTGCCAAATAAGATTAGACCAGAAAAAAAAACAAAGGCGATCTGCAAAGTCAAATATGAGAAAAACTGTCTGCATCCAGCTGCGACGCATTAAACTGACCGCTAACAGCGTCCACCTGTACACGCAGAAAGATACTTGTTTTTAATTGGCTATCATCCATTCTCTGATGCTTTGTTGTAAATGAATTCAGTACTTACGTCTTGTACATATTGTATAATAATATTTAAGTCCTTAATGAAACAGAATCTGAGAAATGTCCGAAAGGTTTCAGATCTTTTTATTTTCACAGAGGTTCAGTACTGGAATGAGCCACGGTGGCATAGTGAAGTACTGAAGCCCACGTTTATTGATTCATGAAGCGAAACTATATAAATATCATCTGAGGGGACAACGTGTCAGATGATGTTCTGCACATCCTGGACAGAGTTGGGGGTTTTTTGTGTTTTTTTTCAAAAGGCGGAGGTGTATCTGTCTCTTCCTCACTATGAATACTTAAACAAATTGTGTCATTTAGCACCTTTCAGATAAAACTTTACTGCTGGACACATTTTGCATAATGAAGCTGCATCACTGAGGAGGGTAACTGTGCAAAAGGTCACAGAGTGGAGCATTTTATTTCATATATAAGTTTTGAGCCGTGTCTCATGTCCTTTATAGTTTGCTCCGAAAACTGGAAAATGGGTCAGTGACTGGCTGAGACATGCCCACACATAGACGGAAATACAGCACATAAGTCAAAAATAGAGTTTGTTGGTTTGACCATTTTTATTCTTCAATAAAAAGAACTCTCTTAGGTAAGCTTTCTCGTCATTTCTTGAAATAGTCTTCAGGAATAGTTCTCCGGGCTCCGAGAAGTGGAAATACAAATATGGGAGAAACTGAGCTGTAACAACTTCCAGCTGTACACACAGAGAAAAAATGGCCTTTGTCTTCCGATCATTCATTTTCTGATGCTTTCTTGTCAGTGAATTATGAGCCATTTGTTTCTTTGTGTGCGTTTCTTTTTTACTCGCTACATGATTACACACCTCTCTACATTTAATCATTAGTTATTATTAATCTCTTGCTCTCTTCCACAGTGTGTCTTTATCCTGTCTTCCTCCCCTCATCCCAACCAGTCGCAGCAGATGGCCAAGAGACAGCAGGCGGTTTAACAATATTTTATTAGTTAGGCTTAGGCTTGGAACTGTGGCAAGGACAAAAGCAATGAAACAAACTGGCAGTGAATGAACATCAGGGTGAGGCTTAAATCACTTTGGCTTGATTGCCTGCAATCGGCTCCAGGTGCGCAGGAACTGGAGGAGGTGGTCCTCCCCAGGGGCGGATCCCAGGTAGGCTCAGGAGCCTAATGGAAATTTCAGCCAACCACTGCGGACCATGACAATTGGGACCTGATAAATGTAAAAACAAAGAATTACCTGATTTTTTTTCAAAAATAACAGTGGCACTACAACGTCCTCATAAGTAGATGTCACGCCCTTGTAGAGCAAAATTGGTATTTTGGTCTAGACAACCCAAAATGTATTGTCCACATGTGTGGACGCCAATGTCGTAGGAGATTACGTTGAATTGAATTGAACTGGAGAGACCAATGCACGACTGATAGTGTTCCAGTCTGTTTTTCTATCCAGATATGCTTTTACTGCATTGGCAGTATGTTTTTTAGATCAATCAGATTTTAACCCAGATGGTATATCATGGTGGAATAAAGTCTGACGGTTCTTTATTGAGTTCATAATTCCAGTTGTGACTGATAACAACACCACTGGCTGAAATAGCAGAGGTCAGCACGTCTCTCTGTCACGTATGAATCCTTAAACAAATCATGTTATTTTGGACCTTTACGGTCTGACCGTTTTACATAATTTAGCTGCATTGCTAAGTAGGCTAACATTTTTACATTGGAGTGAAGCATTTAATTTTAGCTGCTTTCATGTGTAGTGGTCCTTTAATAATCGCCCCGTTGGCGTAAAAATACTATTTTATGCCCATCAAACTATGATATCTTTGGGATTTTTTTTTGTAGATACAAAGAAATGGGGAAAAATTGCGAGTCTCTGGTTGGGCTGCTAGTGACCAAGGCCCCAAAGATATCATTTAAGGTCACGTCCACACTAGCCCGGATAGATTTGAAAACGGCGCTTTCGTCCGAAAACGCTCCGCGTCCACAAAAGCACTTTCAGTCATTTTCACAGAGTTGAGCGTCCACGTTCAAACGGCCGCAAACGCTTACTTTCCAGTCCTGCGCATGCGTGAAACGCAAGAAGATTCGACCTGCCTCTCTTTGAAACATCGCGGCAAAATTTTGAGGAAAAGCATCGAGTTTTTTAAATGGACTAACAATGAGGTGGAGGTGTTTCTGCGATTAACACAAAAATACAAAGTTGCAAAAGTGAGTAAGAATTAAAGAATTTGAAGAAAAGCTATCTGGAGCATGTACAGACTGATATTAATATTTAATAGGGCTGTCAAAATTGAGAGCAAACAAAACAACTGCCCTCCGCTAGCTTAGTTTAATTGGTCACGTGACTGCATCACATGACTGACATACGTCATCGTTTTAGAAAGTCTGTTTTCGCTGTGCACACTCGAACCCTGCGTTTTCCATGAGCGAAAACGCCGTCTAAGTAAGTATTACTTCTAAGTTGCAGTGAATTGATAGAAGAAAATAAACTGTACAAAACTAAACAGAAGAAAGTAGAGAAATAAAAACTTAACACAAACCAGTGACGCACTCCAGGGCCTGTTCCGTAAGAAGTGTATTTGTTGTAGCATTACTGTGGAAACAAAGTACTTTTGTTCATATTTGGTTATGTTGTGAACACGGCGGTGATGAAATGTACCCATTTACTCCTTAGTCACGTCCTGTCTTACAGTCTGGGTGATCTGTTTCTAGCGCTGTTGGAAAGGGGTTGTGGGTGGTGGTGTGAGCAGACTTGTGTGATAAATTAACCCTGGGGAGACAAGATTTATACACTTTAAGTATTATTAATTATGTGAATTTAATCCAGGAAAAATATTTCAAAGGTTTTATACATTTCATTTAGAAAATACTGAAAAGAAATGAGAAATAAAAGTAAGAAGTAACTGTAGTTTACTGGCTGGATCCTTTGTAGTTTTGTAAGATACGTTAATGAAATTAAAATTAATTACACATTAGAGCTCAGCAAAATAAAATACATATGATCTTATGATATTATCACATAGTGAAACTAATATCTCATTAAGGTAAAACCTGAACAAAAGTAGCTCAAATTCAAACAGAACATGAAAGTTTAAAACAACAACAACAACAACAACAACAAAGAGCTAGTTGTAAAAATGTAACAATCAAATTAATTAAAGAAATTAATCTGAACAAATTCAAAACGTAATTTTTTTTTTGAATAAAAGATAAAGTGAGTATAATGAAACACAGTCCTTTTTTTCTGTATTGCAGTGTTTTATTTATTTTTTGTCATTAGCAGTCTGACCTTGCATCATTTTTTAATGTGAATCTGGTTGTAGAGAATTACCAGGTTTCGTCATAGGGGTTATTTGACAGTCAGGCAAAAAGCCGCCTTGTTTCAGCCCATCCATAATCAGCAGCAGTGGACAATTATGACGCAAACGCTGGCACTATGTTTAACTCTGCTGCCATCTAGTGGATAATATCTGAAAATGCATACAGCACACAGGTCAGAAGTTGAAACATACTCATCATGGGCATGAATGTCATGTTAATTTTGGACTTTTAATGAATAATTGTAGAGGATCTTTGATTACTTAAAAAAAAAAAAACAAGACAAGGTTCCACAAGTTTGAATTTATTTTTGGTATTTCTACGATCTACACACGGTCAAAGGTTTTAATCAGTCATGCTAAAGGTTCTGCAATGTAGTTCAACTTGACAAGACCAAGGCCTATTATCTTCTCATTAGTGATCATGACTGACCACAACTGGTCAACACAACTCTTTGCAGCATAAAAAGTGTTTGTTTGACAGCATTCACTGGAGTGACCAATACTCCAATGAGCAATTGGGAAGTCAAAGGAAGTCACTGAAGATCTAAGAATAAGAATTGTGGATTTACATAAGTTCAGAAGGTCTCTTGGAGCCGTTTTTAAACAACTGCCGATCATCAGTTCAAGCAGTTGTACACAGGTACAAGTCTTTCAGATGTGTCACCACTTAGCTGAGGTCTGGAAAAAGTGTCACCCTCAGATAAGAGGACTTTGGTTGGGATGTTTAGAAACAATACAGGAACCATCGAAGGTCAAACCTGCCATGAACTGGAAATTGCTGGAACACCAGTATCACTGACCACAGTGAAGTGAATCTTAAATCAGAGGTTGCTGACAAAGAAAAGAAGCCCCTGTTCCAAACAAACGCCTTCAAGATTGGCCAAAAATTCTCCACATGGACAAGCCAAACTCCTTCTTGAGAAAAGTTTAATGGTCAGATGAGACAAAGACTAAGCTGTTTGGCCTCCATGACAAGACAATGTTTAGAGGAGTAAAGGTGAGGCTTTCAAGTCTGAGAACATTGTATCAGCTGTCAAGTATGGTGGTGGCAGCATCATGCTCTGGATATGTTTGGTTTTGTACAACATGCATATACATTGTATAAAACTTGGACACAACTGGGTGTTCTGACAGGACAATGATCCCAATGCACATCAAAACTGGTTTCGGAATAGATAAAGCAGGTTAACAGCAAACTTCTGGAATGACCTTTCCAAACCCCGACCTCAACTCTATGGAAAATTTGTAGACTGTGCTTAAAAGCCGGTTCTGTGCCAGGAAACCCACTCATTTAATTGAACCTTACCGATTTTGCAAAGAAGAGAATTCAGATTTGCAGCAGAATCATCCCAGACGCTTCTTGTTGGCTACCAAAAGTGTCTGGTCAAAGTGCAGCTTGCTTAGGGACATTTAACTATATCTTTTTATGTATGTCAGTCTGCCTCAGGGCAGCTGTGGCTACAACTGTAGCTTGCCTTCACCAGTGTGTGAATGTGTGTGTGAATGGGTGGATGACTGGGTGTGTAAAGCGCTTTGGGGTCCCTAGGGGGGACTACCGGTAGTAAAAGCGCTATAAAAATACAGGCCATTTACCATATGGATAAAAAGGGGTTTTATGTATATGTCTTAGCCTCTATGTATCCTTGGACCCTGTGTGGATTAAAGAAAATTACAAATAAATTTAAAGTTACACCCAATTCTTGCTTTTCTTAGTCATTTAAGATGCTGTACAATCCTTTCAAATACTGTTTAAAGAAATCTTGAAAAAAAAAAATTACCCCAACAATCTTGACCGTGACGAGTGTATTAATACCTTTGACTGCAACTGTACATGTTTTAGAGACTACGTCATCTGAAGTGTTTCTTTGATGCACAAGAAATGTTGTGTGAGGAATTACTAATAAGAATTTTATTAATGATTACTATCTTTTCTGTTGTATATAATGTGCTTTATAGAGGCATGCACAGTTACCATCAGTTATCCCATCTTTCCTCCACAGACCTTCACCAGAGTTCATCTAATTATTCACACATAGCTCATCGGTCATAATGTCAGTGCATTACTCAGAATTCTTTCATACAGATGTCACGCGGTAATTATCCATGGATGTGACTTGCAGCTCGTCAGTTCAGATATCGTCAGTGTGTGCAGAGTTTACACCAGGGAGAAAAAATGTGAAAGAGCCAGTATGGCTTGCGGGGCCTTTTGTCTCCCATCTCCTGTTGTCCCATCAGCCTCTGTGTTTCTTTTACTGCATAGTTGGGAATAAGACATGTGTGCTACTCTACCCAGCCGCGTGAACATGAAATTCCAGTCTGACAACATTGAGCAGCACTGAGATCTGAGCAGATCCTAAAAATAAAAATAAGAAACGGAAACTGAAACTGAAGGGTCAGTCTGTTGTCACAGAGATTATCTTGGTGGTGGTCGACTGAGGAGAAAGTGAACATCCAACAGATCAAGAAACAGCACCGATGACTTAAACCGGGAGTTAGTGCTCAGCACAATTCAGCGTAAACAAAACATACAACATTAGAAGGCTTTTGCGTGTCTAACTGATTCCGATTTTTTGTGTGTCTTGATTATCTGAACTGATCTGTTGCTGAACATTTTGTCTGAAACTGTGAAATGATAAAAGATTGAAGACATCATGATGACTGAGACAAACAGAAATCAGGTTTTTCCTCATACCTGTCTGCCAGCCACAGGGAGTTAAGTCAGGAGAGGCATGTGACACAACACCCTGTAGCTCAGAAGTGGGCAACATTAGAAACTGGGACTGTTGCTTTTACCGATTAATCCATAAGGGAGTAATTATTAGGGACAGACCACTTATTTACTTAATTATAAAGAGAAATAAGAACATCGAAGAGGAAACACATTAGTTTGTTTATCTGCTGAATTTTAATACACCTGAGACTCAAAGTGAAGAGCAGAGATTTAAAGCATACAGAACATTCTGTAGTCATGAAGTGGAAATGAATTATAACCTGAGTTTAATCAGATCCTAAAAGACTAAACTATTGTTATTTTAAATGAACTGTGTGTGTTACGTTGGGTTGGACCCTTTTTGCTTTCAGAACTGTCTTAATTCACCTGGCACAGATTCAATTTGATGCATGTTGACATGACAGCATCACACAGCTGCAGCAGATTTCTTTTATCCTAAAGGTGCTCTGTTGGACTCAAACTTCTAATTCCTCATCTTAATGTTACAGGAGCAATCTAGACTCATCTGACCAGGCAACATTTTTCCTATTTTAGTGAGCCCGTGTGAATTGTAGTCTCAGTTTCCTGTTCTTAGCTGATGGGAGAAGCACCCAGTGCGGTCTTCTGGTGCTGTAGCTCATCTGCTTCGAGGTTTGACATGTTGTGCATTCAGGGATGCTCTTCTGCTAAGACATTTTCACTCAGAAAACTTCTGCTCATTAGATATTTTCTCTGTGTAAGCCCTAGAGATGGCAGTGTGGAAAAAATCACAGTACTCAGACAAACCTGTGTGGCACCAACAATCACGCCTCTTAAATCTGACTTAAATCTTTTTCCTTCCCCATTCTGATGCTCATGTGAACTTCAGCAGACCATGACTACATGCCTGAATGCACCGAGTTGTTGTCATGTGATTGTCTGATTAAATATTTGACTTACACGGGTGTACCTTAGAAAGTGGGTGGTTCACACCTGCTTATATAAGCCCAATATTTTTGTTTTATTTAATTTGATTTGTGGAATTAATTATTCCGCAAATGCGAATGTGCATCTACAAAAACATCTTAATCTGACTGTAATTTCCTGTTTTATGTCCTCCCAGCTGGATTACTTAAAAAAAAAATCAGACGCATTCTCGGGATTAAAAGATAATTTAGAAATAATCCTCATGGGCTTGGATGTCAATGGCGAGGCTGACAGTGGCGTGTCTAGAAAGTTTTGTTGGGGGGGCCAGGTAGGGGCACAGATTTGGAGAAGGGTGGCAGATGTAATTGGCAGATAATGTTAAAAAATAAAATTCTACCAACCGTTAACCATAATTCAATAACCCTATAAACCTAATAACAGAATGTGCTTTTAATTCTTATTAGAATGAGATTTTAACCACTACGGTGCAAAGTTTTTAGATACTGCGTTGATAAAGTACAAGAGATGCAATCAGTGTTTTGTCAGTGTTTATTCAGTATTCAAGGACAGCAATATTTGCATAGTATTTTTACTGACATATAGTGCACATATGTTTTGGCCAAAAGCATTTTTGAATATTAAAATACGAACATTTTTAACATACAATTGGCAAATTAGCCAATGCAAAACTTTATCAGCCTATTAAAAAAAGAAGATAATGATCTCACAAACTGGTGTTTGATTTTGAAACAGGAAAAAAGTGGGGAAACAAATGAAAAGGCTAACATTTGAATGAAACCTGAAAGCAAGTAAATACTTTCTATACCTTCTTTTGATAATTTTTTCAGTATAAATTGCGCAAAAATAAACCTCTTGAACTTCTAATAAGAGTGTTACATGTTAGGAAAAAAAAAAAGTACAAAAACATTTGTAAACAGCAGCACTTGGAGTTGCAAAATATTTATGTTTTGAAAGTGAACATTTACTCAAGTACCTACTCTATGCTTCATCAAATATTATCAGTGATTTAGAATAGGTGGATCATTAAATTAAAAACGTGTTATTTAAAGCAGGATTTTGTTTTACTTTCCAATTATGTGCCACAATACATATATTTGCTTAGTTAATTATTTATCCCCAAATATTAGGATTCGTCACCTATGGATCGGTTGAACAATTGACAATATAAACATCCCTTCCTTGCATTTTCCTTATTCATTCTCACACATACCTTCATTTGTAGAACTCAATGACAATGATGACTGCTGACAGTCCACCTTTCCCTGACATTGCTCTCTGCTTCTGGTTGTATTTTAGCCTTCTCCAGGAAGAAATTCTCAATTTTGAGATCTTTTCATTCTTCCTATTCTTCTGGTTTGCCCTAAAGTAATAAAGCAAAAACTTGTGTCACAAACAACAACTTTCCTGATATATGACCTTGACTAGAAGTCAGGGATGTCAAATTCTGGCCCTCATGGACCCCTATCCTGCACGTTTCAGATGTCACCTATACCAACATAGCCAATTCCAATAAAATAATCCCCAAACACCTAGTTGTGCACAAGTCTGTAAATGATTCTTTTAATCAGCTGTGTTGAAGTATGGAAACATCTGAAACCAGGAGGACAGGAGCCTTGAGAACTAGAACTGTACATCCCTGCATTGAACATGGCACAGCCATTCATGATTTACACTCTATTCATAACATGGAGCTGGCAGACAGGATAAGTAACGACAGAAATTAGCTAGACCGCACAGTGTAGTGTAAGTGCTGCCTTATGGTAAACTTTGGTAATATTGATGTATAAAGAACAACACTGGCTGATGATGAAATACAGTCAGCTGGCATGGTGACACTGCCAGTATTAACCTGCAACCAAATCTGCAGCTCCATGCAGCAATGTTACGACTTGGATTATATCTTATAACTTGTAACTCTTATGCTGGCTCCCCCCAGTAGCCTACTGTCTGAAATATTACAATAATTCTTTAAGTGTTTCCTTGGTATTCTAATTTCAACGAAGTTTACTAAACTCAACAAACTTAATATTGCTTACCGGGACATTTATTCTCTCCTCATTTTCTTTCACCGAAAAATTGTTTTCTGCGGTGCCTCTTTCTTTGCTAACATGATGCTCATAGTGCAGAAGCCGATGCTGCATTCAGTTACACTCGGATATCTGGGCTTCACTGTGAGAACATAATCGTACATTTGATATTTGATTAAATTTTATTATTTTAGCTTCGGGGTAGCACCTGGGCTGCCCAGTCTGGTTGGGGTGGCCTGTGCCCCCCAGGGGACGCCATTGGAGGCTAACAGCGAGAGGCAGACTGTTAAAAACAGCAAGAGCCAAAAACACATACTTGGCATTCTTAAGGGAAGAGTCGACGTGAAATCTGCGCCGTAATCATTACAGCTGGAAAAAAAGAAAAGGAAAAGAAAACGACCTTCATGTAGGAGGATGACTTTAGCGGAGGAGGACGCGCAGATGATTTCCTCCACCTTAGGGGGAGGATCCGTCCACGTAACGCGAGGCAAACTCACCGCATTTTCTCGCATTAGCGTTTCCTCCTTCAGCCGTGATGCATCGGAGTAATGAAGCGGCAGCCTGGAAATGACCGTGGCACCCCCGCTCACAGCCAGCAGTCTACATAGAAGAAGAGACCGCTGCTGAACCTCGCTTTCATTCGGACGTTTTTGGTGATTTTTTTTTTTTTTGCGTAAAGAGGGGGAGTGACTGTTTGTTAATAAAGCCATCATCGTAAAAAATTAAAGAAGTGAAATCTAGAGGATGAGCAGCTTAGGTCATGTACCCACACGGGTGAAATCCAAGCGGACTGAGGTCAGGCTCGGCGCGGAGAGGGATCATTTTGACAAGCAGCAGGTAAATATGCAGGAAACGACGGGTTAATGCCCGCTGTGGGACGGACGGTAAACCTGGGTTTTATTCAGGCCTTCGGTGGCTTCAGAGGATGAGTGAATATCTGTCCCCAAATTAAATGCTTAATGAGTGAATTAACTGCCCAGAAGGCGTCGCAGCTTTACCAGTGGCCACTGAAAGAGCCCACGAGGGATGCCCCCTGTGTGTGTGTGTGTGTGTGTGTGTGTGTGTGTGTGTGTGTGTGTGTGTGTGTGTGTCTGACTGACTGACTGTATGGCCTATACTGGAACATTAAGCCGACCATAAGTACAAACTCTTTGGCATAGCGTTGTAAATTTGGACTGTTTAAACACAATGCTGAAAGTGCTTTGCCATTGCGCACTGAAGTCATTCCATTGGTATCCCGGTATCATGCTCATCTAGTCCTTCCGGTTTGGCCACCTTTTCCCCTAGTATAGGCATCTCTCTCCCCGTTTTTTTTCCTAAACCACCTTCACGTTTCGTTTCTTTGTTGGTTGTTGTGTTTTGTTTTTTGAAAACATGAAAAATAGACCCTTAACTTTGACAAACTATCCTAAAACATCACCTCAGTTTCTTTTGAATGTGTGCAGTGAAGAAATGAAGGCTGCCCTCATTCCTCACACAACAGGTGCTTTGTGGTTTCTGCTCCTTACTCCACTGCACTGTTCCATACATGGCGAAGAGCTAACCCGGGCACTGGTGGATTCATGTTGTGCATTCGTGTTATTGGCTAAAGCCCCGGAGACGCTATGGCTACATTTTCAGGTGGAGAACACAGATACACCAGAGCCGAAGCGAGTTGAGTAACTAAACAAACAGCTGTCCGGCCGGTCAGGCTTACAGCCCTAATTTATCTGAACTGAGTGGAGCGTTTCCTCCGCTGGGCGTGTGTTTTACTCGGTGTTTTATTTGCTTTTGACGCACGTGTAGCGAGGTGGAGCTGAGGTTCTCAGACTACTGTGGCTCAGCAAATGACAAGAAGCAGGTGTGGCTTTGCTTTCAAAACTAGGCATTGTTGTCAGACTTGTAGTTTATGTTCCTTTGTGTCAAACGATACATTGCACGTAAAATATGGGTTTCAGGGAGCTGCTCAAATTCTCAGCATAATCAGGTCTAGTCAAGGGATTTGGCACAGTGGATCATAAACTCCTAAAGCAAATACTTCAGTGGGGGGTCCTCAGAAAGAAAAGCTGCTGGATGGATTCAGAGTGTGGAGGTAGGAGGAGTCATTTCCAGGGTACTTAATATGAATAGAGGAGTGCCACAGGGATCGTGTCTAGGGCCACTGTTATTTATTTAATGTATAAACAGTCTTTGGTGGGATCATGCAGTTCAGGGCTCTTAGAATGAGTTAGTATCTCAATAAAAGTACTTAAGATTATAATTGACACTCTCTCTTTTACGCCTCACATTCAGTAACTAGTGAGAAACCTTTTACTTCACCATTAAGTCCATTCTGTTCTTTTTATTGCCTTAACCTTTGTCTTTGCTGGATTATAGTGATGGTGATATTTACATGCACATCTTCACAATGCTTACACATGCTGGTGCACGAAGATTTATTACAACTTTAAAGCTTGTCTCATATCAGAAATGAGGTATAAGCCAATGACTTTTATTGATGACTGACTTTATTGCCGCTGATGTTTATAAATTCTTTATTTTATTGTTTTTGTTTTTTTTCACCAGCTGTGTTTTAGTGTAGTTTTGTGTACTTCTTCCTCAGTGTGTGCTCTGCTGATTGTACTGCTGTTTGTCTTGGCTTGGCCACTCTTGTGAGAGATTTTTACTTTTAAATCTCCAGAGTTATATTTTCCTAGTGAAACAAAGGTTAAACAAATAAATAAAATTCAAGCAGCAGTCGAGCTGCATTGACAACCGTACCCGGTCAAAATGCAAATGAAGTCCTGGCAGAATGAGGAATCTGGACTCCTGTCTCAAATAGTGTGCTAATTGCATACAATTTATACAGACTGTTGCTTTAAATGTTGCATAGTGTTGCTAAAATGTGTTCTCTTAATTTAATCCTGTTATATTAAAGAGGCTGCTGCATGTAGTAGGGAGAGCTGAGAGACTGAAGCTACTCTGGTGCTGCTTTTTATTATTTTTTTACTTCCACTCTCTCTCTCTTTCCTCCTGTTTTGCCTTTTCACGTCGACCTCGGTACCAAGGTGAACCGTCTCGCACAGCAGCTTGTGTGTTTTTGTGCGCACTGTACTGTTTGCACTCTGTTGCCTGAGTAAGCACCCATGAGAGGCAGAGGTAAGGGGGGGATGGGAGTAGGAAAGGGCAAATTCAGCTACTCAGTGGGAGTAGAGAGAATGAAAAGGTTTCTGGTTAACTGTTTAGCCACTTTACTCCACAGGTCACTGCATGTTATTAGAGTTTGGGTTTTTTAGGTTCTTAGTAGTTCCAGCCTTGTTGGTCTGTGCGCAAAATCTATTACAAGAAGTGACTTTGATACAGAATGTGCACATTCTTTATATTTACATAACAAGCCGTGTTTGCCTGTGACATCCTTATATTTTCACTCATAACAGGCCAGTGGTAATCCTGCTGTCATGGTTTGGTGCTGAGATGTTTGAGCCATGGTTTCATTATATTTGTTCCACAGCTACTAATATTAATAAACGGCATGTGAGTCACGAGCTAACAGCTCAGCGAACAGCATATGTTTTGTTGCTATTTTAATGCAATAAAGATAATTCAGTTAGATATAAAACTGAGTCATGACCCAGTGATCTCCATATCTGCAGCTACTCTTCCCTTGTGTTCACTCCAAGTTCATTCATCTACACTGTCATCATACCTTTTTAATGCATGTACTTCATCCAGTCCTGTTAAAGGTAACTAAATATGAGCCTTGTTGGCTTTTTGTTTTCCTTGTAGCTGTTACTATTCATGTTTGCTCCAGCTTGTAAACTTATTGAAGGACATTGTGGTGATAGATTCATTAAAGTCGACCTTCATTCTGTTTGGGGCTCACATTCCTCAGCCTCCCCGTGGAGGTGTACAACTCTGACTCATTCCTATGGTAGGTGTTATCCAGGCCTGCCGCTTTGTCACCAATTTGCTTCATAATTCTTATAGACAGAATTTCTAGGCGCAGCTGTGGGGCTTCAGGCGGGTTCGGTGGTCTCAGTATGTCCTCTGTGCTGTTTGCAGATTATGCGGTTCTGTTGACTTCATTGACCGATGACCTACTGCTTGCATCCAGTGTGAAATGCTGGGGTTAAAGTTGGCACCTGGATTTCTGAGGTCGTGGTTCCTAGCTTTAAATGGGTGCCTTGCCCACTCCAGGTTGGAAATGAGTTTCTTCTCTAGGCAGAGGAGTTTAAGTATCTTGGAGTTGTCGTCGTGAGGAAGGAAAGAAGGATGAGGGTGACTGGTGCTGCGCTGGGTCTGTAGTGAAGAGAAAGACGAGCAACACTGTTGCTTTATCGTTTCAAGCTTCAATTATGGCCACGAGCTCTGCGTAGTGACTAAGGAGAGTGCAGATAGAAATGGTGGAAATGAGCTTCCTCTAAAGAGTGTGAGGATTTCAGACTCATTTCCTCCACATCGAATGGAGTGCTGCTCCTTACCTCATCCTCCTAAGCTCTCTCCCTACTTCCTTTAAGGCTTGTCTTCTGATTGGCTGCACCTCTGAAACTGAGGATTTGAAGAGTAGGTGGGTGGGGTTGCTTGCAGGAGGTAGCTCAAAGAGTGGCTTTGGCATCCTTGGAGACCACGTACTGATGCTGCTGTTTGGGTGGGCGATTCCATGACCGATGGTACAGTTATATTTGGTAATAACACCACCATTTATTTCCCACTTTCATGCATTAATAGTGGATTATAAACCAGATCTGAGGGATTATAATTTGGATGAAAGTCAAATGAACTTTTTTGCTTTTGGGTTGGGAGGTTGTTTTAGATATGGTGTTTCTTTTGCTCCCTGTACATCGTTTCTGTTAGGACAAAATAAGACACATGATGTGGAGTACTGTTAGGTTTATTGCCTGTGTTGATGTGGGAGAAGCAGAATGAGTCAGTCATAAAACAAGATAACAACAAAAGATGTTAATAAAACACCAAATGAAAAAGGCCATTTGATCTGAGAGGATATTTAAAATCACTGAAATCTTTGATTCTCCATTTCTATGGTTGATTTTTGACCCTGGTTTCACTTTTTGGTATGCCAGTCATGTGATTTGTTACCATTAACTCTACCTGCAGGTAACCTCAGCTAAGAGACGTGAGCTGTGTTCATGTCTGCGCTTGACCTTGTCAGCCAGAGCCTCAGCAGCACTCTGTTGAATTAAGCTGATAAGAACCAGCAATAAGTGCTCGTGCCTTGGGGCGTTGAGTCCAGTGTGAAACAGTTCTGGTGTCATTTGACTTTGTTAACTTCACGCACTCTCATCTAAACCACAATGTCCAAGCACATGGACATGCTGCTGAAAGCCAGAGACGACCAGGTAAGCTCAGACGTAAGGAGGTTGAAGGCATTAAAGCTACGTGCTTGGGGTGTGCACTGTGTAGTAATGCTAGCTGGCAGCAGACCGTATGGCAGGCCTCAGGGATTAGTCCAGGCTTTTTCTTTCTCTCACTTCTCCTCTGTGCTGGTCAGAGGGTTTAACCACATCTGAACCAGCCTCCAGGAAACGGTGCCGGCATGTTTGAAGCTCTCGGACTGAATGGCTGTGTTAGTAGAAAGTTTGGATTTCATCTGACTTTACCGTGCCATAG